GCATATCTTTACATTTGAACCTTTTTAAACCATACCTCCCTCAACTTCACTGGCCACGTTCCTTTCTCCTCTCTTCCTGACCACTTCATCAAACATATTGGCCTTTTGAACCGCCCTCGATCTCTCCCTTACAAAAGCCAACAGCCTCAAACATCCGCTCGGCGTCATCCCCTCGATCCTTCTCGCCTGTCCCACGCTCTCGGGCCTTGTTATCTTTAGCACCGATTTCTCATGCATAGAGATACCATGAATAGAATCATAATCTAAATCTACAGGTAGTTTAAGCAGCTCATCTTTTTCGAATATTCTCTGCGCAGCTTTTTGTTGTGTGACATATGGTGCGTAGACGGCTTCGATGCCAACTCTATCTCGGATTCGTTGGGTGTATGTTAGGATCTCTGGGATACGAGTTGAAAGATCGTTCATTGTGACGTCTCGAATGCGTAGGATGTCCAGGGCGTTTCGCATAGTACTATCATTTGAGACTTTGAAACCATCGTTGATCCATACCGGAGCGCTGAATTTACTATTTTCGAGCGCTGATTTGAGACCATCCATCTGAGCGACCTCGTCATTGAAGGCGGACCATCGTTCTTCACCTACTACTCCTGCTAGTCGTCCCTTTTCCGTAAGTCGTAGATCGGCGTTGTCGGCTCGGGCACTCATACGATATTCGCTGCGAGATGTGAACATACGGTAAGGTTCAGAAACACCTTTGGTGATGAGATCATCGATCATGATTCCGATGTACCCATCACTGCGGGATAAAGTCAATTGTGGCAACGATTGTGATGCAAGACCGGCATTGATACCGGCTATGATACCTTGCGCAGCTGCTTCCTCGTAACCTGTAGTACCATTGATTTGACCAGCTAAGTAAAGACCCTGGATTGCCTTCGTTTCGAGTGTTGCTTTTAGACTTCGAGGATCGACGTAGTCGTACTCTACACCATAGCCGGGGGCGGTCATTGTGACATTCTCTAGCCCTGGAATGGTTCTTAAAAGTTGTTCTTGGGCCTCCGCGGGTATCGTCATGGATATACCATTAGGATAGATGACATCGCTGTCAAAACCTTCAGGCTCGAGCCATACAATGTGTCTATCTTTGTCGGAAAATCGTATAACCTTGGATTCGAGCGATGGACAATACCTAGGCCCTTTCACAGTCTCCCTGATATGAATGGACTTGTCCAGATTTGCCCGTACCACATCATGTGAAGCCTCATTCGTATACGTAGCATAGCAGAGTAACTGGTCCTGGACAGACACAGTCTCGTTGAGATAACTGAAAGGTGTCGGTGGCTGATCCCCTGGCTGCACAGTGAGACTTCTAAAGTCGATAGAACCCTTTGCAAGGCGAGGAGGCGTTCCCGTCTTCAGTCTTCCTAGAGTAAAACCAGCGTCTTTCAGCGATTTGCTCAAACCAAATGTTGCCACTTCCCCCATACGCCCTGCAGGATAACACTCCAAGCCGATATGAATCTCTCCGCCCAAGAATGTGCCAGTCGTGATAACTACTTGTTTGGTAGGTATAATTTCGCCCGATTCCAGTCGCACGCCGGTAATCTTGCCACTTTGCGCCTCGCCCTCCTCCTTCGAAACAATTATATCCGCGACACTCCCAGTTACGATTGAAAGATTCGGATACGCTTCTAGCTCTTCTCGCATATGCTTTTTGTATAGATCCCTATCGATTTGCGCTCTTGGACCCTGACAAACATGTTAGCCTACAACTTTGAGATATCGCTGCCACCATGATCACTTACCCAAACCGCAGGACCTTTCTTCCGATTCAACACCTTAAACTGCACTCCCGCTTTATCAATAATTCTTCCCGCAACTCCATCCAGCGCATCCACCTCCCTCAACATGGTACCCTTCCCTATCCCTCCAAAACTAGGATTGCAAGAACAAACACCAATATTCTCGAGTTTCGGGGTAATCAACGCAGTCTTAGCCCCAGACCGCGCGGCTCCTGCACAAGCCTCTGCGCCCGCATGACCTCCTCCAATAACGACGACATCGTATGGTCTAAGAATACAAAGTTAGTTGCGAGATAGAGGATTGGAGGATGGAGTTGGAGGGGCGCATTTCGTACCTTGTATCTGCTGCGACACTTGCAAAAGAATTTCTTTGGAGAAACCAGCTTCTAGTGAAAGTCTGTAGCAAAGGGCGACGACATGCCACCGCAAGTCTTCGATTCATATTGGCATTTCGAATGCGTCTTGTGCGATTCTTGAACCGGTGGGAAATTTATGGGCGGGGATTTATTTTTCCTTAAGGCTTATCGGAACTTTTTTGGTCTTCGCCGATTGGCTGCTTAGATTTCGAAGGCAATCGATCACGACAACATTGAGCATGTTCAGTTTGATACTGTTACAGATTGTTACTATCTGAATGTGCTACTTGGTATGGATTGAATCTTTCGAATTTCGTGGTGCAGCCATTCAAGCATTTTCATAAGGTCGAGGTCAATATCATAAGGAATTAGTATATAAGTTTTCAAGGGACACATATCGTCTATTTGTTTTTTTCAGACGTTATCAGGTAAAGAAGCATCAATCAATTGATAGTGTATTTTAGGGAGCATATTTTTGAAAGCTCAATACTCAAGTTCATTGTACAAAGGGATGAAAGGGGGAGGGGCAGAAGTTAGTAAATTAAGCGATGAGCATGGGAGGTGGTGAAGTAGAAGATGAGTGAACGAGAAGATAGGAATATAGGCGTCAAAGAAGGTGGAACAATATTGAAAGATATACAGTTTAATAAACAGGTCAGATGAATATATAATGTCAGAAAACTTAGCCGTGCTTTTTGTCGTAAAATGAATGCACAATCTTATTTGTAGTAATATATATATTCGTCTAATATTCTCCTAACAACGAAGTTAGTGTTTTCGTCCCGTTCCATATCGAATCTGAACCAGTGGAGATAGCTAATTGCTCTAATTCAAATAGATCTTATATACACCATCTCCCTTTCTTAACAGACTCTTGCATCTGAATACCCGTGTCCCATAAACCTCTTGTCAAAACTTCTTTCCTGTGTCATCGAACTTCTTGAAATTCTAATGTAAAGGCATGACCTTCTAACACCTATTCATAGTTATGAGACACTTATATGGTACACTGCTCTGGCCATAAGTAAATCAAATTTTAGTATCTGACCGTCTCTTCCCCTCATCTTCAACAACCAAAATCAACTGCTAACATGTAAACTATCATCTGACGGAAGCTTAGGGGTGCGTTTACTGTAGTCAAGGTCATCAAATCCATCTATATATCAAAAGTACTCACCTGAGAGGTTGAGACCAATGCTACCGCTACTCAACATGAACTATTCCAGTAACAAAACGAGTGAGAGCAATAAGAACAACATTATCAAAAACATCCAATTGCAAGAATATCATTTATAATCATCTTGGAGAAGTCTGTAGACATACAACAAAACATGCTAAGCAGGAAGCCGCAGAGAACCCAGAAGTAATATGTGGCATTCGTCACTGTACGCAATGGCTAGATTGATTTAGACCCTCGAGAAAGCAGAACGAATTGTGAATTTTCTCGTGAATGATATGCCTCTCACATGAGATAACTCAATCCATGACTAGGAGTATTTCTCAGAGATGAGATATCACTATGATAACATAATACTGTACGGGAGGCAAGACAAGACTTCATTTGACCACGATATATCATACCCGATAGTCATCCGAAACTCAAATACAATACATACAAATGAGACGACCATCACAATTTCTGCTTATTTCGCAATATCTGTAGACACCCACCGCATCCGACAAGACGATAGTGAAACTTCAAAAGCCCATTTACTATCTACCCCTTGCTATATAGAAATCTCCATTAAAAAAGATATATCATATCGTACATGAAAACAACAATCAACAAATCATCGCTTATCTCTCCGAATTCCCAAGCAAAACAAGCACCTAGCAAGCGAGATGGAAACTGAATCCAGGAATAGATATATAGCAAAATCACAAATCCAAACAACATCAGAAGCACAGGTAGATGAGGTGAAGGATGACCTACAACACAACCGAGAAGAAAAAAAATAACATTCATTTCATCAAATTCTTCCTTGAAGCATTGATCTTCCCAAGTAATCTTCCAGGGAAAATAACACCTTTAGTCGATTTGCGTGAACTATTGAGAACTTGCCTGTATGGTAGCAGCCTGTGATTCTTAGGTTTACCTATATTTCTTGATTCATTTGATGTAAAGAGTTGAACTCGCGTGAATGACAGGATCCAACTGAACTGATCAAGACACTTGAGAAATTCCCAGTTCTATTAATATTCAAAACGATACAAACAAGAAGAGCGTATCTCGAGAGGCTACCATACCAGAAAGCGTACCACGTATTATATCATAGCAACAAGCAACAAAGGTTTATGTTTGTTATAACGGATTCATTTCTGTTTAGCCATCGGTGATAGCTCTAACTAGAAGCTACTAACTATGTGTATCTGCGACGATAAACTGTAGCGGCCAAGAAACAAAATCTGAGATCCGAGTTTTTTTTATGTTTTGTTTTATGTATTGCTGGTCCCTTCCACACAGCTAGGCTACACCGCTTCTCCTTCCTCCAGTAATCCAACTCAATTGCTGTAGTCCAGACGGCCGAATCTTGCCTTAAGAAATGTAACAATATCAATCGTTATAGTACGAGATTTGAGGTATGACCATCAATCGTAAGAACATTTCCGAAATTGCTCCCCAATAATACAAGGCAAACCAGCCCTAACATTGCGAGAACTAACATGGGTATACCAAGCCATCATCTCTATAAAAATGCCACAAACCCTGAAAAGCCCATGCACCAATTCGTAACCATAACGCTCTCACTGGAGGAAGAAAAAATGTGCATGATAACCAGAACGCCAATATAGGAACCCTACCTGTGATGCCATATAAGCCATCACCCGAACTCCATTTGCCATGAGATAAAAAAAAAGAAAGGTAAATCTGGCCGGGAAGTTACCTTGCTGATCCAGCAAAGCCATGCGAATCCAATTTTAGGATCCGTCTTAAGTCGTTTTCCATGCCTCGAAAATCGGGATTGCTAGTTCCAGAGAGGGTACCAGAGGAACCTTGTGGCACAGGTGAAGAATGTGTGACTTGAGTGGTATTATTAAGATTATTGCCAGCTGAGAAGTTATTTCCATAGATTTGAGAGAGGTTTTGGGATGGTCCGTATGAATGAGCACGCTCAGGCGTTCTTGTGGGAGTTTTCGCTGGGGAGACTTCTTGGCGAAGACCTGACCGAGCTGATTTGGGAATTTCACCTGAGCTTCGGGAATCACCTCTGAATTTGTAGTTGGCCTGTGGAGATCTTCCGGGTAGACCGCCGTTCCTTGGGCCAGTGGGAGAGCTGTGTCCACCATGACTGGACATTGCAGAATTCGTCGTCAGGCTCAAAGCAGGCCCAAGGTTCCCATTGGTGGATGGCCCCTCAGAAAAAAGGTAAGCCTTGAGTTGCTCTGACTTGTCTAGTGGTGATTGAGAGTGACTTGGTGATACCTGATGTGGCTGCGAGGGGCTCGAATTCTTAAGTGCTTTCATGATCCTTTCATTATAAGGCGTGGAGAATGCTGGCCCCAATGGTAATCCGGGACTGTTGGATCCATCCTCCTCCATGGAAAACATACTACTTGCTGAACCACGAGAAGCTGGTACATTTTTGTTACGGTATTGACTGTTGGGCTGCGATGGAGTTCTTGTATTCCCCGGCGACTCAACTGGGGGATTGAAAGGCCCAGCAGAGCCGGTGGCATTGGAGTTTGTACTTCGTGCTCGTATCTTTTCGGCCTTCTCCCGTTTATCTGCTTTGAAGAAGAGATCGAGGGGTGATTCCTCCCTATGTGACACATCCCTAAATATTTGTGCTGAAGATGGAGTTTGCGATGATTCATCTGCCGAGGAATCTGGCTCTTTGATCGCACTTTCAGTCCTGATCGCTGGTGATTCTGGGACAGACTTTGAAAAGAAACTGGGCATAGGTAAAGCGGACGGGGCGGGAGATGCATGGAAAGTTGGACCTGCATAGACTTGAGCAGCGGATGGTGTTTGAATAGGTCTTGGAGCAGTTGAGCCACTGGCAGATTGAGCACCGGTCAATGGCGGGGTAGTTCGATCACTCCTAGTTGCAACGGGAGACGTCTGAACATTTTTAGGTCTTCTTTTATTGGTAGACTTTCTGGAACTATTGTCCGGTAGGGCTGAATTTGGTTTATTTTGAGAGGCTAGCTGGTTTTGCTGGACTCTTCGAGGAGTTCGAGGAGGGGTAGTGGGTTGCTGATCAGAATAAGTCATCGAGGGGTGCATGTTTTGTAAATATGCTTGACTATTGTAATCATGTGGACTTTGAGGAGCGTTTCGAGGTGAGGCTGTTCCGAAGTCTGCAGCGAAGCTTTGGGGTTGACGTTGCCCTTTGTGGGGAGTCATCGAGGACATCTTAGCTTGACGCCTATGAATGTATGATTGGGTTGATGGAAGCTATTCTTTATACAATGAAATTCGAGTGATTGTGCTTGGTAAATAAGAGACGAAAGCAAGCTTCCGCGTGTCTGTGCTATTGCGTGTGTAGATCAGATGGTACGAAATGGTGGGCTATAGGTAAGGAGGTGGACGTTCGTTGGTTGTGTCTCGCAATCTAGTAGAAGTGAAGTATTTTTGGTTGAATCTGTTTAATTTTACGTGGTTGAATGATTGAAGTGAGTTATTCATTGTTCTCGGTATGATGGTTTAATAATTTGTAGTGTGTTTTTTTAACAAGAGAAGGGGGGAGAGAGAAGCTGAAGTAAATGCGATACAGCGACCGATCGCCCTACTCCGTACCGTTTCACTGATCGATTTGTGATTAGTCATACCCTCAGACGCTCCAGACAGCTGCCATGCCGACACCAGTGAACAGGACGTAGGCAATGGAGGTTATTCAAAGCCATCTTTATTCATTCAACAGCCCTACGGCTATAGCTACAGCTACAGCTACAGCCCTACGGCTAATTAATTCTATTTCTTGTTAGTTTGGTGAAAGTTAAAGATCTGATACCATTAAACTCCAAGGAATTATAGTACAGGATTAGCATCTTTATAACATCCATCATATTAAGCGCCCTCCTTTCAGGCTTGGTGTAAACAAAACCTGAAAGCGGAGCGGCCAATCTAGCAATCTATCACGTGATCAAATACTATTATGCCTAAACTACGGATACTAGGTAGGTAGGTAGGTAGCTCCAGAATATCAAAATACCATCATATGTCTACTGTAGATTGATCTCAGTCTGCATCCAAAATCATACATAATCAAGAAGTTCTTTCATTTTAGATTCTGGGATTAAACGTTCTTCCATTGCAACAGACACCAACCTTCATTTAAGTCGATTAATACAATCATCAGCTTATCCATATTTAATTCGCAAACCAATTCGTTCGCATCTCATCCTAAAGTACCCCGCCAACACCAATAATTTAGATAACCATCACCACTCTGAAATCCCCATCACCATGGCAGACGTAGACATGGCAGATGCTCCACCAGCTACAGGAAAGAAGAGCGGTCTCAAGAAGGCAGGAGGGGGTGAAGGTTCGGAAGGCAAAAAGCGCTTCGAAGTGAAGAAGGTATAGATGCCTCGATTGTTGTTGGTTTTCTGCACAGCTTTAATGAGATATATAGTGGAACGCGGTAGCTTTGTGGGCATGGGACATTGTTGTCGATAACTGCGCCATCTGCAGAAACCACATTATGGATCTTTGTAAGTTCGAGAATGCCAAAGAGGATACCAACTTCTGACTTTCACAAAGGTATCGAATGTCAAGCAAACCAAGCCTCTGCCACAAGTGAGGAGTGCACTGTAGCTTGGGGAATTTGTAACGTCAGTAATTCCTTTCCCTTTAGATGTATTCGTTCTAATATCAGACTACGAACAGCACGCTTTCCACTTTCATTGCATCTCCCGTTGGTTGAAGACACGCCAAGTTTGCCCACTTGATAACAGAGATTGGGAATTCCAGAAGTATGGTCGTTAAGTTGGGGTTTTGAGATTGTATTTGGGATTGGATGGGGTATTTGAGGAAGATGATGAAGCTACGGACATGAAGTATAATATACCAAAAAGAGCGGCACGAATCTCATCTGCGCGGTTCATCCAAGACCCAGTAGGAGGCAAATGGAGAATTTCGGGCAGGATTGGCGTTAAGGACACAGAAGTAGAGCGAAACTTCGGTACAATGTAGCTTTCAATGTGAAGCTTTTTATTTGTGCCAATATACTGTTTGCATTTTGAGGTATTCCCAATCCCATGACGCCCCAGATTAAATATCCCTTCAACATATCCTCAACCAACCGTCTTTCCATCCACAACAATCCCTTGTGTCGATGCATCCCGCCCACCTAAAGGCAACCATCTAACGGGATGTTTCTTGTAGAAGGGCCATGGAGGCACAACGATGGCGAAGGTGAATGCCGTTCCAAGTAAACCAAAAGCAAGTGCCAGTTTGATATCTTGTTTGAAAAAGCCAACAAAGAAGGCAATGGCCTATTCCTATCAATCAGCATATTTCGAATGACCAGGGATGGATAGAATGATTTACTCCGGATATTGCTAATAGAGCTGTTGTCAAGAATTCTGCCAATCTTTGACCTTCAAAGTCCTACACGCGCAACAGGGAATCAGCATCAGACCTAGCTTTGTGTCCTTTAATAATATGATTGTATGAATGATTGTGTACTAACAATTTGCCCTTCGGCAAGATCCCGAACCTGGTCAAGAATTTGATCTGCCATAATCGTAATTGTTGTGCAAAGCTCGATGATCGAATTACAGAAACCACGAATCAAGCCTTTTTACTAGATAAGAAAGACGAATTTGTGAAATGTTACCAAATTCTAAAGTGTCCCTTGAAGCTTAAGTTGAGGCCACACTTCAGCCTTGTTATGGCTGTAGGTACGCACCCTTGACTACTAATCGCCTTGGCCGAGAATTGGTAACCGGGGGGTTAGAAGCACATGGTTAGAGTTTGGGTGAGGGATGAGCGATGAGCGATTTTTGTGCAACAAGATGTACAGTTTACTTGATTCCTGTTCACCAAATGACTTGATATTAAGGTTATACTATAGATGTTACAATAGAATTCACGAGCTGGACGAAAACCTTCAAGTCTTGGCTAATAAATCGATAGTAGATAAGATGTGATCGGAGAAGATTCCAGTTCATGTAGGGCGATAATTCACGACCAAAAAAAAAGGCTTGGAAGATAAAGAACAAAGGGTATCAGCATGCAAGAATACATTCTCAGATGTCTGGATATACCAATGAAGATGTCTCACGTTACCAATTCACATTCCAAAATCAAGATCAATACGTCTTCTCGTGGGACCAAAGTATCCATTAGACAATTTAGAACGCAGGCAACCCAATGAATGAAAAGACAACTTGTATCGTGCGGCCTGCTGAAGAACATTGTCAGGTCTTGGCCCTTTGACAATAATACACAATCATACCACACCAGATGCCTCGATGGCCCCGCGCCGAAGGATTTGCCATGAGGGAGTTGTTCATGTGGGAGAGATGATTTTGCAGAGAAGAAGTTAATATGATCATCTATTATGATCTAATCTCAGAGACATGTAACCAGTAGGACCTACCAAAATGTAATTGATACCTGATACCTACTAGGTAATTACCTGATACCCAACCACCTACCTACCTAACCATACTATATATATCAAATGTCTGAGAACTGGCTGGAGGTTGGTAGGCTCGTAGGTCAATTCTTTGAGATTCTCCATCAATTCTCCACCAATTCCCCCCACCAGATTCACTTTTTCTTCTTCTTTCTTTCTTCCAATGGATGGAACTCTGAAGAAAATGTATGGTAGGGAAGACTGTACGAAGAAGTAAGAAGTAAGAAGTAAGAAGTAAGAAGTAAGAAGTAAGAAGTAAGGAATAAGGAATGATTACTGTACCTACCTAGATAGTCAGTCACTGGTAGTTATTAGGTACATCGGGAAAGAAACATACCTGGCTCACCTGCGAACATACCTGGGAACGAGGGAACACACTTAATAAACACCCTCACACCACACCACACCACACCGCACCACACCACCCATCCCCATCGTAACTAACCCGTACTTACAGAGTACACTAATAAATTAAGCGCCTCCACCAAGATTTCTCTTTCAAGCTTTCTTCCTCCAACTCCACTTCTTGTCCTCCCTTCTTGAAAAATTGCATCTCAAACAATATCGGATTGGTTTCGACCGTTCAACTCCCTTTCTTATTTAAATACAACATCTCACATTTCAATTATTATCTTCAAATATCATTTCGCCATTAGCCACTTACCAAATATCTTTTATTTGGCCATTGGCTGTACCCTTAGCCATTACACCACGAGTACGCTTAGGGTTCCCAACACCACATAAAACAGGCCGACCTTTTTTTCAACTTCTTCTACCTTGAAAAACTTCAACTCGAGACCGGCCACCCATAAAACCTACTTGTCCACCCTTCCAACAACCCAAGCCACGATCAAACTTATTCAAATACTGTCCCATATCGAAATATTCAAATTGTCGCATCAGAGCGATTGTCGAACTCGAGCGTCTATTCATTTTGACTCATAACGCCTCAACGGCTTCATCGACAATCAACCACCAAATTGGCGGGACTCGTATTCCAAGGCCTTTCCTTCATCCGTCCCCTCCTCGGTCCAGTGAAGACCTGGGCCTACTGCGGAGGCGACAAGAAACCCCCATAATTGCACTTGAAGCAATCCAACAACAAAACACATAACTGCAGCTATACATACAAATCAAAAAGGGGTAGCGGATGGACGAGTAGCCATTCTTCACTAGAGATCACACTGTACAGGGAGTACCTGTGCAAAGCCAACTATCAAATTGACGCCAAGCAAGCGGTGGGCGCTCGTTGCGACCTGCCTGGACTTTGAAAGCTTTGGCTTCCTAGAAATCTGTATGTCATTCTTGTTGTAATTCATGGACTCCAATGGCTAATTTGCATGTAGAAACTTAACCCAAATATATCTTATCCATAATATTATAACTCAAAATGTCTGAACACGAAGACACCTCCCTTGATACCGGCTACAGCACGCCGGTGCCAGAATTAGATGACCACCGACATCAATCTCAAGCTCTACCAAAAGCTCGTTCTCGCAGCGGTACTATCGATAGCATGCAAGCTCCTTCTCCTCGAGCTCCACAGAGTCCAGACCTAGCGCATGTAAACAACACACTTCTTCAAACAATCGCAAGAGATTTCGAGGAAGCCATTGTCGACGAGGACTCGAGAGGTGTATCTCCAACGGCCATTCGAATGGCGGATAGAAGTCGTAGAGGAACTGCAGCCACTGCTGATATTCGTTCCCTATCACCACCAAGCTCGGTGAAAGCATTTGCAGATGCAAGAAGAAGAGAACGAGAAATGTCTGTCTCGGACCCGAACCCTGGAAAGGCATTTGCAGATGCCAGACGGCTCGAAGATCATAATGCTCTTCATAGAACAGAGTCACATGCCAGCCACAGAAGCCATCGTACATTTCGTAGCAGACGTTACACTAACGAGAACGATGCAAAGAGCTTCGCAAGTTCGTGCAAGTCGGCAAAGGAGGATGTTTGCTTTCCTCTACATGCTTCTCCAACCAAAAACACCTTACAAATCAATTTTGAAACCCTCGAGGATTTCATTTTGGAGGAGGAAAATCGTTCCAAGACTCCTGTAAACCACACTCAACCTCGAATCTTCCATGATTTGAGAAATAACGGTGCGGTGCCCATGATTGTTACATCGGAAGGCACGGTTGTTGATATTCCCTCGGGTCCACCATCAATCAATGAGAAGTTGGATTCATCCAGCCTTGAGGAGCTTACCCGACCAAAGCAATCGCACCCAGACACTAATAGGTTTGAATACTTTTCCTCGCACGGAGTAGATAGTATTCACGCATCAGAATTTGGTGATCTCATCCTGCCAGGAGAAGACATAAGAACCCTATTCACGCCTCCACAAGAAGAGGGAGAACAAGAAGAGAGTGTTTGGTGGTTGAATATGAACAGCCCAACAGAGGAGGAAGTTCGTGTGATTTGCGAGGCATTTGGTGTCCATCCCTTGACCATCGAGGATATCACAGCCCAAGAAACGCGAGAGAAGATCGAACTCTTCCCTTCGTACTACTTCGCTTGTTTCCGTTCCTTTAGCGTTGTCGAGATTGAGGACGGCCAGGAATACGATCCATTCAACATTTATGTCATTGTATTTCGAGAGGGTCTACTCAGCTTTAGCTTTTCGCCAAACCCACATGCAGGCAGTGTTCGTAAGCGTATCACATTGCTAAAGGATTATTTGTCTTTGAACAGCGATTGGATTTGCTACGCGCTCATGTAAGTTCTCCCAACAAGTCACCGAGATCATGAACTGACAACTTCACAGTGATCACATCGTTGATACCTTCGGCCCTGTTATCCACAAGATCGACAATGAAACAGATACGATTGAGGATCAAGTTTTCATTGCTCGCAGTGATGATATGCATGCCTTTTTACGAAAAATCGGCATGGTTCGAAAGAATGTTATGGGCTTGATGAAACTTCTGGGTGGCAAGGCCGATGTCTTGAGAGGATTCACAAAGCGCTGTAATTCCAATTACCTCGTCACTCCTCACATGGATATTGGTATGTATCTTGGCGATATTCAAGATCACGTTGTCACCATGATGACCAGTTTGGGTCACTCTGAGAAGATGCTCTCAAGATCGCACAGCAATTATCTCGCACAGCTGTCAATTGACAACATCACCCAAGGGAATAACGCAAACAAGGTTCTCAGCAAGATTACTCTCCTCGCCTCCATCCTTGTTCCTCTTAACTTGGTATGTGGTATGTTTGGTATGAATGTTGCTGTTCCTTTCGGGAACGCGAACAGTCTCATTCCGTTCTTTACAATTTTAGCTGTGTTGGTGGTTTTCTCTCTTGCTTCCTTGGCCCTAGCAAGACGGTATAGATATATTTAGATGTTTGTGGGAAGATATGTGCTTGAGCAAATAATACCGTTGGGGGGTTTGCAATTTTGGTAGATGTGGAACAGAAATTGGGCTAAAATCATGGTGTTTATTACGGATCTTTTGGATACATTGTAGATGTCTTTAGATTTTGATATTGTTCATAATAAACCAGATATTACCTAGAAGGTATGAGTTTTACGACTTCAGTAATGTGATGATTGATATGCGCTTCAAGATGTTTGGCCGTCCGTTATATTATGTTCGCAAATGTCGAAGCAGGCAAAAATAATTTTCCACGTGACCTGATCAATGACGCTGATACCGATAATCTTTGAACCCGGCAAAATTTCTGAAGCTCTCTCAAGCTCTTGTATCAAACCATTGAATTTCAAACCCAGTAAACCACCAATTTCTCTGTCGCACGCATAGGAATCCTTTCCTTTCCTTTCCAAAACAACATCTCAACACCCAATTTCGAATTTCTCCATAAGCTAAACGAAAATGGATTCCTCATCTCTTCAACAAACACCGGATCTCTCAAAGTTGTCGGACAGAGACAAGCAGGAATTGCAACAATTTATTGTTAATGAGACGCAGAAGGCTAGGATTCAACAATGTATGTTTTCCTTCGTTTCTTCTTTTCCTTTCTTTTTCTTCTTCTTTTGGCTTTTGGAGTTTAGGGGGGTGGGAGGGGAATTGGGAATCGCATTGTATTGCATTGCCACGCCGAGCATTCTTCCCCTTCACGTCTTGAGAGAGGGAGGAATATATCCGAAGACAAGAATAGAATAAGAAGCACAAGCTAACAACCTTTCCCCCGCACTAGCCGTTCACTCCCTCACTGACGTCTGCTGGAAGAAATGCGTCACGGGCAGTATCCGCAGCGGCAAGCTGGATAAGAGTGAAGAGAGCTGCACGATGAATTGTGTGGAGCGGTTTTTGGATAGTAGTATGGCGGTGATTACGCATTTGAATACTATGAGGGCGAATGGGGGGGCTTAGGTTGGAGGCGTTGGAGGCATTGGAGAGGGTGGTTGTTGTTTGGGGAGATGGAGGGGAAGGAGGGGGATGTATGATTATAAGTTGGATGGGACGGGATGGGATGATGTTTTGAGGGAAATTTTGTGTTGGGATAGACATGATATGATATGTATACTCTCTACTTCTTTATGATATGACGAGTTGAGAGAGGAAAGGGGATGAAGTGTTACACGAGGTATATGGATATGAATGAGACATGCATGAATGGTGTCTTTTGTATGAATAGAAAAATCTAGGCGGATACGCCATGTGATATGGGATCAATGAAGAACATGAGATCCCTTCTTGCAGGATCTTGACCTCGTTGTGAAGGAAGTCGATGGGTGGTGCTTCGCTGTATTAATGTGTGGAGGGTAGTAGAGTAGCAAAGTCGGTGGATAGACAGCCATTTTACATGAGGGGATGTTAGTCCGATCTAGGATTTGATGATCACTTGGAGGCACTCGTGAGTTTGGAGTAAGAGATTGACTTGTTCCAAATCATGTCCCTCATGTACACGGAACTCCAGGGTTTTCATGTGAATTCATGCAACCACAAGTTGAGTCCATTCGATTGTACACAGTTTCTCGAAAACAACAACACAATGTAGCAAAAGTGGCATGTCGAGGAGCCATCACAGACAAAACATATGCAAATTCAAGTGTATCAAGAATTGTCATTGACAGGGTAATACTGCATTGGTATACACATTTTGAAAATCATCTCATTATGCTAAATGGATGTGGGTATCGACCAATCGTAGAAAAAGCTGGTTGTTTTCCTCAACCATAAAACTTTTTGTTTCCCTCAAATCCAGATTCCTAATTCCACTCCCAGTTTTGATAATTTAGACAATGGCGAGCTTGGTGGCAGCAATGTCAAGAGCATCAACATCAGCAGTAAGACGGGCGAAGGCCTTCTTGGATCCATCAGGTCTGTGATCGACGTGTCAGTAATTGCACATGATTGAAAATTTTGAGTTGAGCCTACCTGATGAGGGTGTTGATCTTGACGGTGTCAATATCGTAAAGCTTCTTCAAGGCCTCCTTGATTTGAGCCTTGTTGGCCTTGATGTCGACAATGAAAACGAGGGTGTTGTTCTCCTCGATCTTCTTCATGGCGCTCTCAGTGTTCAATGGGTGGATGATGACCTTGTGCTCATCGAGACGGGGTTGGGAAACGATGGAAGTACGTGGGTACTTTGGTGCACGGGAGAGTTGGAGGGTCTTAGGTCTGTGGAAGGTGGTCGAGAGACGGACCTTGCGGACCTTGTGGGAGTGAACCTGATAGATCCATTAGTATCAAATATTAATCTCAAGAATGGACAGAAGAACTTACACCCTTCAAGGTAGCCTTAGCAGCGGCATTGGCCTTCTTGTTACCACCCTTGGCGGCGGCACCTATTAAAACTTACGCATCAGCAAGCGCTCTTGAAGAACTCGCAATATCTGCTACTGCTGGTGCGCATCTTTCGCATTCCTTCCGGCTGTATCTGGAAATATTTTCATATTTCGTAATTTAAAAGCGGTCGCAATATTTTCCCAAGGACGATATTGCGATTAAGAAATGCGATCAATGCGAATTTGAGAGAAAGGAGACTGTACCTTTCTTTGCTACGGGAGCCATTTCGACGAATATACTTCCTGAGGGATTAGTATTGGAATTGAGTTGTCGAGGAGTTGATGGATTGCTTCAAGAAAATGTCTTGAGACAAAAAGTTGAATTCACAGATCGTGGGCGAAAATTTCGCTAATCGGAGAAACTGTTTTGCCGGATACCGAAGAATGACAAGGGATGCATTTTCCATCTAATTTTTTCGAAGTAAATACTCTATGTACTAGTCGGGTTAAATCTTTTGTTATTAATTGATTAATTTTGTTTTTTCTATAATCGTGAAGATCTTCCGTTTTCTCGATCGTGAGGACTCATGCTGGTTTCAGCATTGATTTGAAGTTCTCAAATCTTTCACCATGGGTATCAACAAGAAAACAAAACTCAAGTCACTCTCACAAGGTCGACCACTCACGATCAAGAAACCAGCTCAACGAATTTCAAGCAAAGCTACTCGAACAATTATTCGTAAGCACCATACGTTAGAAAAGCAAAAGGCCAAGGCGTTAGCAGAAGGTGATGAAGTTAAGGCGGCGGCACTAACACGTGAGATTGCTTCACAAGGGGGACTGGAAAGCTATCAACGTGCAAGTCTAATCGGGCAGGGCAATGATAGAGGTGGAGATAGTAGCAAGATCTTGATGGATTGGCTAGCGCCTCTATCTAAAGATCTCAAGGGCCTAGTTGAGAGGAAGTCACCTGTCCGTATGTTAGAGGTTGGAGCTCTGAGTACTACAAATGCTTGTTCGAGAAGTCACACTTTTCATGTTGAGAGAATTGATCTAAATAGTCAATCGGAGGGAATCACGCAGCAGGATTTCATGGAACGACCGCTACCGAAGGACGAAACCGAGAAATTTAACATTATCAGTCTTTCTCTAGTCTTGAACTACGTTCCGGATGGCGTAGGCAGAGGTAATATGTTACTCCGAACTCGCAAATTCTTGGAAACAATACGTCCGGCCGGTGATGGCTTTAGTGAATGGTTTCCGGCATTGTTCTTGGTACTGCCGTCGCCTTGTGTGAACAACTCACGTTATATGGATGAAGCGAGACTAGAAGCAATCATGGAGAGCTTGGGATACGTCATGGTGAAGAAGAAGCTTTCGAACAAACTGGTATATTATCTCTGGCGTTTACAGTCGCCAACGATGAAACCACGGCAATGGAAGAAGGAAGAGATTCGAGCTGGAGGCAGCCGCAACAATTTCTCAATTGTGCTTAAGAATTGATCGATATAGAGGGGGTGGAGGGCAGGCGGTCTACATTCCACATTGTACGTTGATGGGCCGCTTGCAACTGTGTCCCACGAACGACTATCAAAAGGAATCCTACAACAAGCAACACAGATTCCGGCATCGACCGGAATGTCCAGCTTGCTTTCCGTACACTGAGGGGTTGTATAATGCATGGAACGATAGGCGCAAGATGCAAAATGGGCTCGGACTACAAATTTTATATGGTGGGTCGGCACCCTTGAGGAACATTTCGGCCTCTCCTGATGAATAAATAGACAAGACGAAAGATCGCCAATCAGTTAATGAAAAGGTACTGGTTCGTAATGCGAAACAGTCAAAATCATGAATGGCATGGGGAGATTCGGGAGAATTAGTTGAGGTATTCGAAGGTGGGGGGGACTTCTGAGTTTTTACACAAAAGTACCATGTAAAGGCTGGATAAGAATACGATAGATATCAGATTGGCCGAGAACTGCAAAGGACCTGACGGGCAGGTGGTGGGGCATTTAATCCATGCATCTACCTGCGCCGCTGTATTTCCAAGTTTCTATTAAAATGTTACACTACTTGAAGGGCAAAGTCGAAGATTCTAGTCTCAATGGTAAGTTGGAAATTCTGGAAAAACTTTGCTTGAAGGAACCTAACGAATGAGAATCATAGGAGGAGAGGAGAGGAGAGAGGGGAAGAAATAAAAGTAATGGTTGCACGAAAATACAAGAGATGATATAAAAAATTTGTGTCGTGCATAAAATTGAATCTCGCATGACATCGGCATGAAAGTCCGATAAGCGTTATCTTTGGCTGGAGAAGCTTGCTTGACTTTTAAAAAGGCGGACTAAAACCACAATATATCAATCTAGATAGATCTTAATATACAACCCACACCCAACTACACCCAGTTCTTGATCCTCCCATATTAATTTGCTCGTGTGTCCATTCTCAAGAAATATCAGATGGTTTCGGAGTGATTTTTTCTAATTAAGGTTTATTATAAGGATTCGAAGATTTTAGAATTTTGTCATATTCAGTTTCTGATTGTGGCATTTGATGATAACGCAATAACGAATAACATATTGCCTCCTCATCATGGCGCCTCCTCCCAATCGAAATCCAACAACTTTTTATGAGTACGAGCATGGCACATCAGGATCTCCCAGAGGCTCTATCAGTAGCAATCGAAGTGTACGATTCGACTCGGGCAATTTCTCTCCATCTGCAGAATCTGATTATCTAGCCCCTGGGGACCAGAATGAACAAATGGAAGGTCTGAGGAGACGAAGGTATTTCATCCCTCTCTTTCTTCGCGTATATAACAACTAATTTTTGTTTTTAAGGTCTTCGATTGCCATGCGATTCAACTCTATTGCCCATGCCGGAGGTGTAAATAGTATCGAGAACTTCGCGCGAAGTTTAACACGAGCTACTGCCTTCCACGAAATTACTCCGCGCCGCCCGTCGTTCATACTTGCTGGAGACGGCGCCGGAGAGGGTGATGATCCTGATCTAGAATATGGAGGATCACAGGCGGACTATGGTAGAATACCTCGATCTTCCTTGATCAGAGAACAGCTACGAAGATCAATTTCGGATGATGTGGGTGATGATGAATCTGCAATTGGCGATGAGACAGAGAGCAACCTATCCCGGGTTGCCAGCCACATGAAACCCGAAGGAGAACGACTTCTTGGAGGCGATCGCGCAAGTGTGCAAGGAAGTGTAAGAGGCGGTCAATCTATCTTTGCCATTGCTCCGCATCTATCAACTCCTTTGGCAGGAAGCTATGGAACGTCCTACGGCACATTACGTTCAAACTTAAACGAGTCATCGATGGTCCATGCTGGCCAACTTTGGCGACAACAACAGGCCACCGGCGCAAATGTTGCTGATGGGGAACACATGCCTTTGATTGTCAAGGAGGTCGAAGAAGATGGAAAGATCGTACTTGTGGTTGAGGGACAGTCTACGCTTCCACAGACGATCCTTAACTCCACGAACGTTCTCATTGGAGTTGGACTACTCAGTCTCCCTATGGGTTTGAAGTACTCAGGACTGCTATGTGGCATGATATTACTCTTTCTATCGGCGCTTGTTACGTCGTACACGGCGAAATTGTTAGCTAGGTGTATGGATAGAGATCAGAGTCTTCTGAGTTTCGCAGACGTTGCCTATGCAACCTATGGTCGCAAGGCAAATATTGCGACTAGCATCCTTTTCACTATGGAGCTTCTTGCGGCATGCGTTGCCTTGATTGTTCTTTTTGCAGATTCCCTTAACTCGCTAATTCCATCCGTCGGAGTCAATGAATGGAAAATTCTATGTGGTCTTCTTTTGATACCGCTAAATTTTGTCCCTCTGCGTTTACTGAGTTTTACCAGCATTCTTGGAATCGTCTCATGTTTTTCCAGTATGTAAAACTTTCCCCCAAATTCCAATATACCAACTAACCATGCTAGTTGTGCTAATAATTCTCATTGATGGGTTTGTAACACCACGAACTCCTGGTTCTCTATTGGAACCGGCAACTCAATATATTTTTCCAGCCAATGTAAGTGTCTTAGATGTGCCTCATCTCAGTATCATTCGTCATTGCATATCATGTCATTACCAAAAACATCCAGGCTATCAGGTCTATTATATCCTCGTACACATTTTACCTAAATTGATGCATACAAACCGCGATGTTCAAATTCGAATCAAGAATCATCTCCTAATCTAATCTTTTTGAGAATGAAATCGACATGATATGATATCTATCACTCTACTTTTTGCTAATAATACTCCTGTCTAGTGGCTCACGCTCCCACTTTCATTCGGCCTTATGATGTCGCCCTGGGGAGGACATTCGGTTTTCCCTAACATTTATCGTGACATGAGACACCCATATAAGTTCGACAAGGCAGTCAAGTACACATTCAGTTTCACAGTATGTTTCAATTATTCTGCAAACTCGCCTACGTTGTGCTAAACATCTCATAGTATGTTCTTGATGCTACAACTGCTCTAGCTGGTATATTGATGTTTGGAGGTAAGCCCCGCGTTTCAAATTCAGCGCTCCCCTTTTTCCTTGCATCTTAGCCTTTGGGTCTATTCTTCTTGCGCTCAAGAAATGCATCTCCTACAAGCAGCTTCACTGTCAGACAGACACTAACATGCCTGTAGATAACGTTATGGACGAAGTGACAGCCAACATTATTGGAAACTCAAGCTACCCTCGCAGCTTGTCTCTCATGATATGCATATTCATTGCCATAATTCCATTGACCAAAGTTCCTCTGAACGCCCGCCCTATTGTTTCTACAATCGAATTGCTCTGTGGGCTTGACTCTCGCGCCATGCCCGAATCACAGGCCCTTACCGGACTCTCGGGCTACACACGTGGTATAATCAAAGTTGCCATTCGTATCATTGTTCTCATCGTATTTGTAATCATTGCTATTGTCTTCCCGGCTTTCGATAGTATTATGGCGTTTATGGGTTCGGCTTTATGCTTTACCATCTGTGTCATTCTACCACTTTTGTTCTACGTCAAGATGTTTGGAAAGGAAATTAGTAGGAGAGAGCTGATATTGGATTACTGCTTGATTGCTATTAGTTCTGTAATGGCGATTGTGGGTACCGTCTGGGCTTTCTTGCCCAAGGAACTTATTCACGCCGAATAATGCGCGTACGGCAAACGACGCGTTTTTAATATTCTTAGGGAGGCAGCACACATGCTTCGGAAATGTATTCGTTGCCTGGTTTACAAGGATTGATATTGGAGTTCTGGATTATGCATTGATGGTGGTCTATTGATACTCTCTATGCAGTCGCTCCATACCCAGATTTTCTTTATCTTGTTCATACATATTTCTTACTCGGTTCTCGGGCTGTCAGTCATGGAGAAAGGTCGACGGTTGTTCTGTGCATATGATGGAGATGAAATTACGTATATACTTAGGGTTTAAATGAGAAATAGGTTATACTACTCGATTTCGTACTAAGTGTCCTTTGACTAATTGCTTTCGGGGAGTTTATAGTCTTTGAGTGAGCTGCTGGTGAATATTGGGGTAGTTGTAGTGGAGATATGCGAGTGAGTATCTACTCGACTGATTGAAGGAACAATACTCATGCTTTCATTCAAATCAGGTCTTAAGAATACAGAATCGGTAGCCGTGATAATCTAAAGTCTTCCCCAATACTCTGGAGGATTCTATATGATTAAATGGTATCACTATTTCTTTTCATCAGGTCTTCTCATCTTAATTTCAAAATCTACCTTTCGTAATTGCATCTCTACACCTCGCATTGTGAGACAAAAAGTCTAACTTATATTTCCGATGTATATATACAGTCTGGATTCCTAATATTACATGCAATCCCATCATCGTCTATTCGTATACTCTTGCATCACTGTTTTTTATTGGATTGTCCCTGTTCCTGTTCCTTTGCCTTCTTGGTAGCATCTGGTTGACCGACAATCTTAACGGCATCTTTCGTGTAGATGTAACTCATTCCGCTCCAAATGGTGGTTGTGGCTACTAGGTATCTGTACGGTTTGTCAATATACTATTTTTATCAACTTGTCGGTATCTCATTTATGTGTAGTGCCGAATCTCCCCATTTCAGTTCTTCATATCTCGCACTCCAAGCATCGCTATTTACAAATACCTCCTACGAAATATCTTGCCAAAGAAAGAAGAGTTCCAATACAGAAAGAAGAAGTAGGAGAAGAAGTAGGAGAAGAAGAAGAAGGGAGGAAACATAAATTAACTCACTGAAACCCCGTCATAGCAATTCCAACATCCCAAGTAATCAACGGCAAAGCCGTCGTCGCTCCAATCAATCCTAATTGCAATGCCGTGTTATACTTACTAATAGTAGTTGGATGTACCTCCGCCGATGGGAGTGAGAAATCCCAATAACGAGAGAAGGTTTTGGGAGGAGGGAGAGAAATCCATCGCCAATAGATGGCAGAAATGGCGAGCCCAATGTCGCGGCCGAGGATTATGGTTGCGAGCCAGACTATGATAAAGGGAGTTAGTTGTGTTTAGTGATGCATTCTTCTTTTGAGAGGAATGACGATTGATGTTCGAGATATTGGGGAGAGATTGACATCATCACTATGCAAAGGCACAAAGCAGAAGTAAGAAAAAACGTACCAGGCAAACCCCCCTTAATCGCCAAACAAACCGTCAAAATTGTCATCAGCGTCTTATCCGCCATCGGATCAATAACCGTGCCCACCACCGTTTGCAAATTCCATTTTCTCGCAATCCATCCATCTACCAAATCCGTAATCCCAGCATAGGCAAAGAGTCCAACAGCCCACGCGTGTTGATCATGCAGAACGAGGTATCCACAAACGGGCGCAGCGATGAGGCGAGAAAAGGTGAGGATATTGGGGACGGTATAAATATTTTCGTGGGGAGTGAGCGATTTCATGGATTTCAGAACTTCGAGGGGTGTGGGTGGGGACGTTGCTTGTTTGCTGTAATTGCGTTTGCATTAGGTCTCTTCATGTTTGAGTTGGAAAGGAAAGGAAAGGAGATAATCCAACCAGAAATCCATCGCTGTGTATATAAACAACTCTCAAGTCCATCTAGCTCATCTCCCATCAACGAAAGCGTCACTCGACTTCTCATAATCTCAGAGGTCACGTGATATAAATACCCTTCTCAAGAAGGTCTTATTCCAACTCCCACCGAAAAAAGAAACAATCACCATACCTTTCCTTCTCCCCACCACTCTCCGTCGAATACCTCACAATCCCACTTCCTGGCCGTGATCTATAACTCATTAGCCTCCATACCACACAAACCCATGCGGCCATCACCACCCGCAAATTAATTCAATCCTCACATATTAGAGAAAAGCGCACCCCCAATCCTCCCCCTACACATCGATCTCGAAAGCGTATGTATCGCAACCCGCGGCATCGAACGCGTACAATTCGTTCCCATCCCCGCCCGCATCCCCATTCCCGTCGCCAGTCCTCCCTTCCACAACACGAAAAATTGTTGCTTAGCCATCATCCCCGATCTTCTCATTGCATCCCGGATTTCCCTGCAACCCTGAAGAAAACTTAACGCAAAAACCCAGCACTGAAAAACTCAATTCGACGGGAAGTTTATTTTATCGAAAGTCGAAAAGATATGGTTTGAGTTTGTTTGGTGTTTGGGTTGGGAAGAACCTTGATATTAAATCGGATGGAATCCAAAATACACTTTTCCAATCAAATATGGAATTGCCCGCGGGGAAGGTGGGGTGTCTACTCTTCCGGAAACCAATAGCCGCCGCGCGTTTATTGGCGGTAGGTAAGGTATCACAATGTTTCATCATCATAAATCTACAAAATATAAACATGAGCTTCAAGGAATGTTTCTTTTTACTTGTCCAAGTGTAGGAGGCTTTGTTGATAATTTTATACGATTTTCGTTTATGAAAAAACATAGAGAAGCATTGAAATTCATCTTGGCGTACAATAGTAAATGTGAAAGAATTTACTTTCGCGAAAGAGATAAATCAAAGGTATCACAGAGAGAAAGATCGATTGTCACACAATTATCAAGCAAGATTCAATTTCATGAAACATTTTCTTTAAGTTCTCAAGAATATCAATATTTAATTAGAAATTTAAGCCTATTTAAAGGCTGCTCGCCCAATTGACCTCTATAAAACTGTTCAATGTACAGTTGTAAAACGGATAATTTCAACAACGCCGACAAAACCAAGAATCAATGACACCTATTGGGATCATCGTTCAGTAATGGTATAACAATGGTATCCGCCCCGACAATCATTCCGAGAACCTTGCTGTTAAATATCTGCAATACACGTACGCCTGCGCCAGCGACCATGCGTAACCCATATACACACACACAAACTTATATATACCCTGGCGCCGGCAGTCACCCGTAACCCATACATACGTACATACATGTATTTAAACGATTAAAATCAAAGTAAAAAAGTTTCAAGAACCGGCATCTCAACTGCCAAGAAGGAGACTTTGTCTCATAAGCCATTTTCGAATAACCAAAACAAAGAAAAAGCTTCCTATCGATAGAGAAAGGTTGCAAAATGGTAACGATCATGAGACATCCCCTCCAAAGAAAGAGGTTGACTGTATCGTCAAAATATACAAAGAAGTTATATGCTCACTCTCCAGCTTCGTATCCCTTATTAGGATGAGCGTAGTGGCGTGGAGGAGGTTTTTGGCGTAGGAGAGAAGGCAGAATCTGGATGATACGGGACATCCGGTTTTGAAGAATAGAGAATCAAAGTTGGCATATTAAGTTATCTGCCACTTTTTGAATCAGGAGCTTCTAAAGCCCGTTTGAGGAAGGCCAAGTTTGATGGTCCACGTTGTAATGAGCATGCCCAGTGCTAACGTTCCCCGGCGAGGTTTCCATGTTTTGAGGATATTGATTACCAGCTTGTGTGTTATATGGTTGGTTAGATTGTGACATGGTCCGCTGAGCTTGAGAATAACCATGCGAAGAAGTGGTTGCATCTCTTGACTGATATAGATTCGGGGAGGCGTATGTACTCTCATTGAAGTTTCTCGAGCCCATTTGGCTCTGGAACATTCCAGACGCCCCCGAGTCGTGCGAACTCCTCGAGCTCATTTGGCCTTGGATCATGGCAGGCATCCCCGATACCATTTCGGATACTCCAGAACTAAGTCCTTGCTGGCCATAACTCGAAGATCGATGCGCAAGGGGTGTTGCATTCATGTTAGAGATGGAACCATGTCGCTGCTGTCTGTAGACATTGTTGTATGCATCAGCCCTTTGTGTGTCATACGTGCTTGGGGCTGATGAGTATTGAGGGTAAGAAGAGCCATGCGAACTTGTCGCAGGTAATCCTCCGGTATAAGGACTGATGGAATTTGGGCTTCCAGAAAGAATGGCGTTGTAGGAACTTGGACCTGAGCTTACTGCAGGGAAATTTCCGTTGAATGGCGCGAGACTGTATGGTGCGGCTGACATGCCCATTGTGTAGTTGTTGTTGGAGAGAAGGCTGTTGGGTTGATATGACATGCCATGCGCGGATGGTGCGGGTAGTCGTGGCGCATTTCGATTCGAATAGTCGTAATTGCTCCGTCCTGAATTGTGTTGGTAGGCAAGGTGATTTTCATGTACGTCGTCTTCGTTCAAGAGGTTAGAGTCATTAGGAGAGTGCTTGTAGCTTTTGCTATAGACAATGTCCCTACGCGGCTTGACGTCTGGGAATGCATTTTGTGGGATTGAAAGTTTACCGGAGACGACATCATCGATTGTGTAATACGACACAATGTGATGAGTGAGTTCTCCTACTTGGACGGTAATTGTCTTCTTAATGAGACAGTTGCCATCCTTCTTGAAGTCGTATGAATCAACTAATGAACCGACCAATTCACGTTCCATCTCTTTGTTGAGCGGTCCATGCATAGAAGAGTAAACGCTACCTCCGGGACTGGTGGAACCATTGCCATTCTTTCGAATGCCCTGTCTCTTGTCTTTGGCCATAGCTCTCTTTTTCTCTCCTGGTGCAAATGGCTTATTCAACTCTCGGTAGACAAGGAAGTTTCCTACCATGCGACTTGGACTCCATGTTGTACCATCGGTCCATCGTTTTACTCCAGAGGACTGTGCTTCGTGTATGAAAATGTTGCCGCTCTTGATGAGTTCAGATCGCTCCTTGTCATGGGGGCGACGGGCAATATGGTTAATCTTTCCTACAAAGGCAGCTTCGAGAAGGATCATTGCAGCTTTTGTGTCGGGGATGTAGCCATACCAGGTTGGCTTAAGGGTACCATTTACCGCAACCGGTACAGGCATAGGCATAGAAGCACCTAACGATGCCATCATGGAGACTGATGTGATACTATATGGGGTGGGTAGGTTGTAATGTGTACTAACGACAGTTGACTGACAGAAGGAAGAAGGTTAAACAAGAAAGGGACCGTCGGGAGAAGGTGGTGGATGTAGTAAGGTAGTAGTGGTGATGTACTCCTCGTGTTTTGGACGAGTAATAATAGATTCAAGATCGGATAGCGAATATCGAACAATGAACAATGTATATTGAGAAATATCGAATTTTCAAGTCGAGATAATGTTAAGTGGGAAGAAAAGAAGAGACCCAATGATAGCTGGCACTCCACTGAGTGACAACGACTAATGAATATAAAGTTCGGTGAGAGAATAAGGCTGAGAAAAACAAAGTTCAATATTGAACTATGGAAAGTTATTATGTGGAAATGTCAAATTGCTGGTAAAGCTTTTTTTGTCTTTCTTTAGAATTATGAGGATATTTGATGTTCTTGAGGTCGAAATGACGAGGTACGGGTATATATGTAAACGACGGGGTTTTGAGCTTGGGCTCTCGTTCGATACGTTCCGGTGGATGGATGTTCGAGGTCGATTCCGAGTACGATAGCTGATGGATGCGGATGCGGATTTGGATGTTGATGTTGGTTTTGAGGTCAGGCTTGCTTGGCTATGAAGAGCGAAGATTCCATTCAAAGGGACGATTGATGATGATAGTTGGATGAATTGGAAGAAAAAGAGTATAGTCTTTTCTTTCGTTCCTTTCGCTTTTTGCTTTTGCTTTTGCTTTTTCTCATTTACGTGTGGGATAGTATGGTAATAAGAAGATAGAAGTGAGGAACCAAATCTCCAGAACAGAAGGAGCAAATTGGAAAAAAAGAGAGTTTGAGAGAAGTTGCGGGGGAAAAATGAGCTAAAGTACTGGTAGGTATACTAAGTCACGACTCACATGATGTAGTAACGATTTAGTATTTATTAACCATCTAGTAGCATTTTACTATCATTTAAATAGTAAAAGCAAAATCAAAAAGCAATGAATTTTATCTATCTATATCTACGCTTAACTTAAGGAGGGAAGGAGTAAGAGTAAACGTTTGAAAAGTGGAGTGGTGGTAACAGACGGACTCCCTGGTAGTATCAACGATTCCAGACTTTTACACTTTATTATTATTGTCCAGTTGTGAGTTACGAGTTACGAGCTACGAGTTATGTTATCTTATGTCATTGGCCTGCTACATTCACCGGTCCAGTCGAGTCGAGTCGAGCCAAGTCTTGTCCCAAAGAGTGAGGAATTAGAAGTCAGACCCAGGTATCTCGTTCGAAAAACTACCTACGCTCGCTACGGATCAGAAGCTGTGTACAGCGGACTTTTGCTGATTTTCCGCGAGACTAATTGGTATTTTCTGCACTCTGCACTCTGCAATCTTTCATCTACAATCTGTAATCTGTAATGCATGTAGGTGTGTTATAACTTAAGTCGTGTTAGTCCAGTTAGTCGTCTTAGTCTTCTTAGTCGTGTTAGAACTTATTAGTCGAGTGGAAATCCATCTGGTAGGTGAGGTCAAGAAGTGGACATACCAAGACTTGACGAAAAGTAGTAACTAGGTAGGTAGTAGCTATGTACTCATGTATGACTTGTGTATTTCCCATTAATTAGTGATCAATGATCATATCTGTGCATCACTTCACTTAGTTCTCCATCTAACTCTACATGGGGTCCGGCTATTTTCTGAATGGTTCATCGCCGGTACTAGCATCTTGTTCAACTCTCAACTTGCAAGGGATGAGAAGCTGTATTGCGCCTAAGATGCAGGAACTGAACTCGAAGACTCTTGAGATTGAGAGTCAAAGACTCAAGAGTCAATTTATTCCAATGTTCAGGGCTATCCGTGGTCCAGGCGTCAAACCTTTAAATTTGAAGAACCTGAAAATAATACACCGTATATACCACACCGTACCCATTAATAAATGAAGGTAAAGCACGGCTGGTGAGTTGGTGAATCGTAACGTGTCGACACTACGACTGCTTGGGTCAATACTTGTCTGGGATATAGTCCTTACAAGCGTAGAACGAAATGCCTGTTTGATGGCGATGCATTGCGCTCCATCCCTCATGCCCGCCCTCACAACCAGGTGCTGGGATTTGCTCGTTTGGTGGTGGGAAATCTCCGTAGAATGTAGTTTTATGCCTGTAATCTGAACTCTCGACATTTAATTTCATACATAAGCCAGCTGAGCAAATTATTTCCAATATTAATTGACAAGGTGTGCTGCGTGCTAGCTTTTTGCTCGACACGACTACATCGTATGTACAACATGGATTCACAAGAGCCGAAATCACTATACGACATCTCTCTGAACAATTGGAACATCACAGATTCACAGCAGCAGATATCATAAAAGCATTAGTATTCTATACGTGAAACCTAACCACTCCATAGATAACAATGATACAAAATTCACGCTTGAACATGCTTAGCTCTTCGTGACATGGTCTTTGCAGGGAGGTGAGAGCTGCCGCTTCTCGGGGAAGCATTAGTTTGAAGAAGGCTTAATACTTATTATTATGCTACAAGGTAGCGAGATAATTTAAGAGAAAAAGGCTCTTTCCACTGGTTTCAATTCATGGTCAAGTCGGTGACCCGGAAATTCACATTTCGTAGAGTTCATGTTGTATTTCCTTTGAGTTGCCATTAGGAAGTGTCAAAGATGCAGACGGGGCCACATCCCGAAAGTTAATGTACGGAGGAGCACGTTGCAGGCGGGTACCGGTATTCTGCTTATCTGGGATCTGTACTGGCTTGGCTGTGATCAGAGTTTCTCATGGCAAGGAAGTAGTGGGTGCTCTCCGTCGACAAGTTGGAAACTCCTCTTGGCTGTCAAGTCTTCAAGGTGGACGACTTTTTTAGCATTATTAGCAGTATATGTTTCTATTATTACATTTTTTTGTGCAAGTTGAAACATCTTGTGATGCTCCCATGGAACACATGTCCGAAATGTATGAGAAAGACGTTTGTTTCTCGAAGCTTTACAAAGAAATTCCGTTCCTACATCTGCACGGTTCGGTATTCAAGACCGCAGCAGCTCCTACATCTCGAGATTCATTCTCGAACCTCCTGAGCATAACAGTAGCAGAATGACCCGGTGGATTTTCGGTATTAGGTACCATACCAGGCCTAGTTTTTTGATCCTCGAAACGATCTTCTAGCGCCTCTTGTACTTTGAGAAACACTAGATAGCGACTGTGCACCCGAAGACGAACGACGCATACGGATTGGAGAGACAATGCGCACGTTCCCTAATCGTTAGTGGTTAATGGGTGAGCAATTCCTTGCGAGCCGTTGTGTAAAGTGCTGGTTCGTCTGGTTCTCCCCCTCATTGTGTACCACGCAGTCTACAGTTCTGGGCGCCTTTGAAGTGGTGTTTGTTCTGTGACACACAAGATGATTCTATGATTCCTTATCGAAATAGAAAAACCAGAAGCCTAGCTAAACGTATACAAACTCTGCGATGCTACTTCTGTTCTCTGAACAGATATACTCTAGCTCTCCATCATCGGGTTAAAGTGACTTCATGGCCCTATCAGTTGCCACCCACCGACCAGCACAAATACTGTAGCCTCATACATAGCACACCCAAAGTGTAATCGTCCTTGGGAATGTTTTAGAGGTTTCAATCCCTCATGTTCCAGTGGGCTTCGAACCAGTATAGTACACACACCACTGGAAAACATCCGAGCACAAACTTTAACGGTGAATCTATTTGACTTTAGAGCTAAACACAAAGCACACGTTTACCATCCTCCTTATATCGACTTCTGCCCTTTCGCGATGAACTTTCACGGTATTTTCAGAGACGTCTGTGTGGTTTGGTCAGTATGGGTTCAGATGCGCACAAACATACAATATATCTCCGCGTTGTTAAAACCGGGCCGTGATTCATATTATTTCCTGGGAGTTCATAGATCTGAGTTGAGAGAGACCGAAGAAAGTTTAAGTAGCAAGGTAGTGGACGACGTAGTACAGTAAAGTGATCGATCGTCATTATCTAGTTGTTCGCCATAGATGGAAAGAATGGAATGTCAGTAACCATTGGCGTTAGGAGGCTTAGACTATTTACCGCACTTGGAGCTCATGTAGCGCCACCTACGTAGTAAGAGTGTACGCGAGATGTGTAGGCGCAAAATGCTTGAGGACTTACCGTGAAGATTGACGAATCGGATCTGGTCCGACAAAACCTGAAAAAATGGCCACTCGTGAATGGTCCGAGTCCTTGCAAGTTGCCATCGTGAAGATACAGTAGAAGCAATCCAGAATGGTTACCTACCTATGTGTGCTCGCCTCTACACCGACGTGTGTAACGAACAACATTGTACAATAACGACCCTCAAAGATAGATTTTGCAAATGGCAATATAGTACGTGATGGTGTTCATGTGGTAAATGTCGATCCCCAATATTCCCAAAACTCTAATACCATTTGGTGATTAGAGAATCGAAATTTTCACGATTGACATCAAAAGTATAGTCTCAAGTGGAGGAAATGATGAAAGAAATATCTACTTGAAGGAATTAGCCTAACAGCTTTCTTCCGATTTCACGATTGACATAAAAAATGGTCTCAAGTAAAATGATGAAAGAAATATCGGCTCGGATAGATTTGATAGTAGGTAATTATTACTGTTATTGTCAATCCTCGAAACATTTACTGTGATTTTTTGATGGAAAAGTCAGTTACTTCCAAATGGGTATAATTATTACGCTTATCGAGAGCGTATCATAAACTTGAATAATATATATAGTCATTCTACAAAATAATACTCAAGATGTGAATAGATTCAGGACTCTAGAATTTACAATCTCTCGTCTATTCAAATTTATACTATTTTTATCCCGATTTTCTACTGAAATCATATCGAAATCATACCGAAATCATACCGCATTAGATATGTAATATAAATTGTTACAATTCGAATCTACCATTCCGATGCCATGTTAGTGAAAGATCAGGTACATTCAATCTAATCCAAAAACTCAATATCACAACTCCATCATCTCTGTTAAGATTTCATCCACAGATCGACATTACAATCTTCGTTGTTCACAATTCAACATCTATCGCTACGGTGTTTACATAATACGCATTGCCAGCCCATTAGGCCTTCGGTGTATCTACTCCGTAAGTATCGACACGACACAATACCGAGTAGAAGAAAAAAAAGATACGTGGAATGTACGCTTTGTGGTGGATTGCATCGCTGTAGAAATTTGAGATTTTGGGGTTACTCTACTTTCCTTTCCTCGAGCTTTTCTCTCTATTGAATGGACTAAGAAACTGGAGTGAACGAGAAAAGCTGTGATCAAATCTTCATTCGATCATATCTCCCAATAGTGTGTGTAGTGTGAACAGGGAATTCAAGCTAGAAGATCGACCGACCATTGGCCTCGAACTTAAGGTTATCTGAGAGATCGTTTGAATCATTAGTGCAAAACTTGAGACTTCAAACTTTGATATTCGATTCAATTCAGTCCGATCAACGGAGCAAAGGAGACAGTTGGGTAGTTAGTTCATCACAGCCAATCAAGCCAATCAGATACATCTACCCATGATAGCATCGATCGAGTCCCCGCTTGACATAATCATGACCACAATCATCGTTGTACGTTGTAAATTGTAAGTTGTAGGTTGTGTTACGTGGGTATTTCCCGACACTTGCTCATTTCATACATTTGCTTAATTATGCCCTTAGTCATCTAATTACGAGCAAAAGTAAACGCCAAGGCTGAATTTCTAAGCAGGGCGGAGTACGGAGTAATCATTGTGATGAAATCAGAAAGGGGGGTAGGGGGGGTTATCGATCTGGAACTTCCTCGCTCTTTTGCCCCCCTGCCCTGCTTCAATCTTTAAAGATTGATTGTAAAGATTATGCGAAGATCGGAAAGCTTGGAAGATTGAAGATTCTATTGTACCCAAATTAACTCGAATGTCCACTGTCCACCTATGGTATGTCCTGCCTCCTCCAAATTAGTGTAAAACGTCCCGCGCCAAGTCGAGAAAATTAATGCACATTTACCATGATTCTATTGGTCTATATACGGCCATGTATAGCTCGGCGAAAAGGTCGGAAATTGACCGAAGTTCCATCGACTAGCAGAACTATGATCTACTTGGGCCTAATCAAGATACTCGTGCGGGCAGGGAAAATGTGTATTTAGTGCTGATTATGAAGCTAGATGCACATACCACAATGTCATTAGACGATAAGAGGATTAGCCCCCTTTTCTCTTAGTGGCGGAGTTGCATACCAGGTACTTTCTGGTCGCACGAGTATTGGTCTCACATCTCCTTTCAAGGTAGATCCTAGATTAGCGGGGGGTCGTCAACATTCATTTTGCACCAGATTTCAGTACCGACTTCGAGCTCCAACTACCGTACAGTGGCCTGGATACCCCCACCAAAGTGTTGTGTAACATCCATTCTAGATGGGCAATGGGCATGTCACTGCAGATACTCACTTACTTCTTTCTCTTGAAGTGGCCCTTGTCGAGATCCGCTTCCATTAAATTAAATAAATCTTCCTAATTTCACTGGGTAGCAGACGCTTTTTCTTCCTCAGTCTTCTATCAAGCGCTGCACCCTGGTGCATTCCGATCTGAGAGTGCACAGCTGCCCAACGGTCGAAGTGGGCAAAGAGGGAAAAAAGTGGCACGGGCAGTATGGGTTGGCGATCATGCCCGCGAAGATCCCCGAATCTGTAGACGAAACTTTTGGTTTCGCTGTTTCGAAAGCTTCCAATTTGCTATCTCGCCATGTTGGCTCTGGGGGAGAAAGATACCGTGTCCACGTTGAGCATTCACTGTACAATCTTAGCAATTTTTCCACATGATGCCCCCCAAATTGTCTCATGGTAATACGGTGTTTGAACATAATGTCCGTGACCTTAAGTGGGCTCATGGTCATGATTCTACAAGATGATGAGGAGAGCGGTCTGTGGGTTGACTGAAAAGGTCCTAAAAAGCGAATTATACCAGAACAGGATGCATGCTTGTTGAACACGCCTCGTCCATCTTGCCTATTCTGAACGTATTGTTATGGACATTGGTGTAGGTCAAACAATGGACGAACATTGCAGAATCATGCCATAGCAATTTTTTTTCTTTTGGTTCTACCTTCTCGCAAACGTTGCCACAATCTGATCCTTTCCAAACACATTGGGATACTTCGAGAATGCTGGTCATGTGGGATTACCGAACGTTTTTTTTTCCCTCTCGTCGCGCATGATGAAATCTCATCTGGAAATGCCGTGCAAGGGATATGATGTCCACCACGAGGCTGTCCAATGTGGCAATGCCTGCTGGGCTTACCTCAATCAAATTAGACATCGATCTTCAGGAAGTGGTGAGAAGCCAATCATGAGAGAATCTTATTCATGTCGGGGTCAATACGAGATGATGGCCCCATGGATAACGACAACGTCGGCATTACAGATCCAATACCGGTGCATGTGTTTTAGAGGGGGGTTCGCCTTGTTTCGCCTTGGACATGTTGTAGATGAGACTCGGGAGAAAGAGGGCCGTTTTCTTACATGAGCGGGTTCTAAGACGGTTCTACGCACATCTAAAATCACTCACTATTATTCCTCAAAATATTGACATGATTATGTTAAGTTCGAATTGAAGATGGTTACACACAACCTTGATAGAGAATTGATAATTAAGCGAATCTAACAAATTGTGATAATTTCTACTTCAAATTAGATAGAACTTCATCAGAAAAAGCAATGTTATCAATTCTGGAATTATTAATCTATTAATGGATCAATCCTTATATCGTCAAATCCAATTTTCGAGAAGTGATTTTAGGACGAAAGTGCTTGTAATGAAGATAAAAATAAATCTAATTATTTTGATCAATTTGTGTGCATTCACTAGGATAAGTTATTTTTATGAGAATACTTCCATTGGTTAGAGCTCTTCATGTAAATTCTAGAAGTATTATAATTCGATGGGGTTATGCCTAAAAATCAAAAAATAGGCACGTTCACTTTTCCAATGCGTTTTACAACCCCCACGCCGTTGATCATCGTATGTTACACCAAGTAGATAGATGAATTCTACCATGTAATTAGCAATCACTCAATTCTACTTCCCTACTGTCTTTAGGAAATTTCACACATCCGTCTTGGCAACTGTGCATCTACGTTCACTGATTCAACATGACACAATCTCGATTCCTTCGTTGTTCTCTTCAGGCATGATACTGGTTAAAAATTTCTCCGCATTGTCTTTAAGTCAGGGGCCTGCCTTCATGCTAAAATCATCGTGAACAGTACCCTACCGACACGTTTCATAGCACCCTGAACCCCAGCGAGTGTGGATGTCACTGTCCACAGATCTGCATATTGGACTGCGTGCTTATCATAGGGAGTAATATCCATGAGGTGCCAATACCCAACCGCACGTGGTACACCGCAGTCGGAACTAAGACCCTCAGCCCATAACGCCAGCGCCGGCTTTAGGAGGGTATCCGCAGCTGTGAATACCACCTTACACTGGACTTACGGCAGGTCCAATAGGAAAATCATCGCATCGGAAGATTGACTTAATTAAGGGTATTCGCTGTAATACCAGGGGCGCTTCGATCCATACACAATACCCGGGAAAACCATGGGTACGGGGATAGACCCATCAAAAGCCTCCATAGTCGGCATGCCCGATTTGGGGACAGCGGCCGGTGCATTTAGATCGGTGAGGGGGACGGAGAACAAAACGCCGCATTCCCAATTGCTGCAATTCAACTTGGGCTCCTTCGTTACTCTGTCCTTTACCATGCGGCCCCTTTATTTGGTAAGGTTAGCTATTTTTCTGCCCGAGCAGCACACACCGCGATCAATAGAAAAAGCACTGTGAAAACGGAAGACTTGCCATGCACTTTCCGAAAGATTTGCGCTTCCAACGTATGCCCATGCGATGGGCTGTGGACTTTTTTGACTTTTCTGGGATCTTACAAATAACATTTTGTTGTGCATCAATAATCCCTTTCTGCGACTTTGACAATCACGCATGAGCTCCCTTGGAAAAGCACTTGCATTGTACCATTTTGATCGAAAGCAAATCGTGCCAGCAGCCTGTACATCGTAAAGTTAATGACCTTTTGGACCTCTTATCCTGGTAACCATGATGGACTCTTCTTACATTTGTGCCACCCTTGCTTTCTTTGACTGTTTGTTCGCTGTAAATGGGGATTTAACAACCAATTCTGACGTACAAGGTTAAACAACATACCTGGGAAAATACACGCGAAACCTGCGCCCAATTTCTTCTGAAAGCTGAGTCTCCATCACGGTCTCCATCTTGGACCTTGCGGGCTTCTCTGTTCTCCACTTGTATTCCTTGAACCCATTATCGCCTAGTACAATAATTCAGTCCCGTTTATCGGCAAGAAGCGACAAGAATGGGTGCTCGTATTAATGACCCACTTCATCCCAGCGGATGCTATTATCCGCGTGATAAGGCAGGTAATAAATTAAAGTCTGGGGAAAGTTCGGAAATGATGCAGATGTCAGAATAGCATGCTTACCCTGTGCTGCCAAATACATTGTTCGGAGAAATCGGTCATCAAGATTTCCCATTGATGCTGTCTGTTGATGTTAGTCTCCGCCTCCGACCGCAGCCTCATATTTTGTTGAATGGGTGTGAGCTTACTACGTATTCAATCTCCAAGGGGTGGTCTGTATGCAGACCAAGGCTTCTAACACAACTGCCTAACCCCGGATAGCCGGTTCTTTGTAATTCCGTGCCAAAATGGGAACCTCCTCTGACTATAGTTAAATGTAATCCATTGAGGGGGGTTTATGGATAGAACGAACATCGAATGTACGAATGCTAGATCTTTCGTCTTAGAGAAGTCAAACCTTCGGAGGCTTTCAATCGTCCGAGATGCCAGCGTCATCGCATGAAGATAGTACAGTAAATCCTGTGCAAATAGTGTCAACTGGTCATCAGAAGCTCTCTCGCCATTGGGTAACCTTGGGAGATCAATCAAGAACACGACCTGGCAATCTTTTATCAGTTCAATCCCTATGTCAAAGGTAGGCGCTCACATTTTCCAAAATCCCACCACTCTCTCCCCAATCATATGGGGTCAAATTTGCCGAGGGTATGACTAGTCGTAAATGCGTAGGGTGTGCCAGGATTTGAAGTTTTGAGTGCATGATGTTGACATTGCCTTCCATCGGAGGAAAGCAAAATCGATAAGTCTCCGGTGCCAATGACCTGAAGTTCATTTTCTATAAGATGTCAGGGAAAAGTTTCATTTAAAGTGCAGTGCATGATTTTCATCCCCCAAAGTTCGATAGTAGAGAAGCAAAAGCTGGAATAGACGCCAATGGTCTTGATACTGGATCGCAGTTTCCAAAAGTCTTGACTGCAGCTCATGTTTATAAACATTTGCTATTTGTAAAGCCACGAACTTCATAAAATTATATCATAATCAAGCTTCAAGTTCAAAGCTAATTCGATTCGTACAATGATTCCACCGTATAGAACGAGTTCATTGTTCCGTTGCAGGTGAAATCATGGAATCCTTGAGACAGACTGTCGTAAAGAAGTTCAAATATACTTCTGATAAATCTCCTGGGGAGCCAGATGATTTTGATCAGCCGTATGAGTCGGAACCGACCTCTTTTGGTGCCTGGGGAAGCTCCATTGCTTCTGTCTACTTAAGTAATCTTTTCCAGCCTCGGTTCGTTATACAAAAAAGGACTATGGACCACTCGATCACATCGATACTATTGTCCCGGAAAGGAAGAGAAAGATGATACCGATAGACCGAGAACTAGAACAGAGCCGTTTTTTGGTATGAACCTGCAAGATAAGGAAAATCCTACTCACTTCGGCTTCAGTGTTTGCCTGCAAGACCCAGATGACCTTTGTAGAAGGCTGGATCTTCGATATGATCCAATCACTATCTATCTGATAAGCCCCTAGAACAGCATGTTCAAGGGTTGAACTCTGGAGGACCTCTTCAATCTTGATGTCTTCCTCCCGGGGGAACCCTTGCGCCCAGGTCTTTTTCACAACTCCGAGAGGAAACTGGATGCCGGTACCTGATACATCACCTTCTGATATGGGACGTTTGGATAGCCTTTCTGGGATGATTGAAGTTTCAATGTCAGTCTCGGAATTTGGCTCTGTGAGGCTTGATGATTGATCGAGTGCGTTATCTAGTCCTTTGTCGGTGAGATTTCGAGTTGTAGACTCCACCTTCCTACCTTTGATTGTCATTTGATGGGATATGGGTTCTGATCGAGAGACTTTTGGTTGGCGACGATCATTTAATGAGGTTGTCGGCGACGACACCGAAGCTTTTCTTTTCTTGGAAGTGGCATCTGGCTCTTTGCTTCTTTGTTGAATTCTTGCTAAGCGTTCTTCCTCCATTTGTTTACGAGTCAGGCCATTAAATAACGTGTTGTCTGGCTGGCTGGATACTACAAGTGGAATCAGTATCAAAATCACAGGATATGCAATTTTAGGATGTAAGATTGACACTCACTTTGAGGACTGGTACTGGGTTCGGCATCAGTGCATGTGTTGGGAACAGAATTAGTTTGTGTGAATTTGAAATGTGTTGCGACAGGCGCATCAAGGTCATCGTTATCGTCATCTTCATCTGAATTCGTGAGATCGACAACATTCTTCTCATGTATTGGGGCCGGCGATAAAGTTTCTCTCGAAGAGAGAGCAATAGCTCTTTTCAAGTCTTCGTCGCTTTCCGAATCGAACACAGTTTTTAAATCTTCGTCATTTCTTGAGTCAGGCATGGCTCTTGGACTTGCAGTGAGATCGACAACATTCTTCTCACGGATTGAAACCGGCGATAAAGTTTCTCCCAAAGAGAGAGCAATAGCTTTTTTTAAGTCTTCGTCATTTTCTGAGTCGGACATGATCGTTCTACTTTTAGATGTGGTTGTAGAGATCGGTTGTGAAGATACACTTTGGACAAACGGGATGTGAAGTATCTTTGTACAGATAGCTGCTTCACCTGCCGTAGACAAAAATCGCGAGTTTGTCAGTATCAGAAAGCTTCTTGGTCGCTTATAGCAACGAGCAGACACACGAGGAAGGCGTGAATATATCAGGCAACGAGGCATGAAAGGTACAGTAAGAAAAGTGTGGCAATATAGAAGATTTCACTAATAATTATCTCATATTCCAAATGTCTAGACTTATGGTAACATTGGCAAATACCTTCAGAGTTTTGATATAAAGGATACAGACTGTCGATGACCCCTTGTGATTTTATTTCGTTGATTTTCTCAGCACAGAGGTAAGATGTAGAGAAGAAGTGTGTAGAGAAGTTGAGAAGTTGAGAAGTTGAGAAGTAGATAAGTTGAGAAGTTGAGAAGTAGAGAAGTTAAGAAGTAGTTGAATTTCATACTCAACGCTACTCCTTCTTAGTAGGTAATCCTTGCTATTGATATTCATCTGTGGATATAAATTGGATAACGAGTACTAGGTATATTATTAAAGTAGCTAGTTATCCGTTAGCTGGTTGAGTTCTTATACGGACTCGAACGGATCACCAGATTGGTCTCTCCGACTGACTACTCCGACTGAGAGAAATCCGTCGGCATTTGATCTCTGGAATCTCGATTGAAATCTTTTGAATCAATAGAATAATAAACCGACAACAAATGAAACATATGGATTTGAGATGGTCAAAATATTTATTAGATTTCTTTATTTGACCGAATATCAATGGATACGACCCCCTACTCAAACATCCAATATGGTACTCAAGGTATGGTGTTCATCCAATGTCAAATTTATCATCGTGTCGGCTCAAACATTCAGATCCCGAGCGATATCCGTACATTCAAAGTATATTGGGATATAACAGCCCTACTCAGCCTTACTCAACATGCACCTCGTTCAAACACCTCAATAGACTTTCGATACCTGCCTAGTAACCTCAAAGGCTCCCAAATAGGCAAGTGTGTCGAGGTAGGTACCGGTAGTCTCTCGCAGTTTAAAAGAACAAGGACACCGAAAATATACACTCATTTCAAAACTCGATATCAATTCAGACAGTCATTGTTTTTGTTTGAAAGTTAACCAAGTATACTCAGACGCTTTGAATCTACAATACGATCCATATCATTTATATTTTGAACAGGAATTGATGTCACTATGAAGTATCAAAAGACATCAAAATATAAATGTTATCAATGTATAGCTCTCTTTGGTGGATCTGGTGTCCCGAGTCTTCCGTCCTTCTGGAGATAGCATCTCGGCCTGTGGGTTGGATGCGGATCAGTGCGCGGAGATAAGGATTTCAGCGAGGTTAGATAAGACATTTATCTTGATCCAGAAGAATTGCTCTGATGGCAGCTTTATTACCTACGTCTCGTTCTCTTTTCTTTTGAACAGACAATAGCACGTCTTTATGTCATTACGTTTGTTTCGTAGGCCAATTTGGCGTACATCTTCTCTTCATTATACTTTGCTCAGTTCTCGGTATATTTCTCAAACTCACAAATCTCCGCCATTTCCTACCATACCAAAGTGCCCCTCACCAACATGTTCTTGCGCAGAGAACCCCGAGATGCCAGAAGGCTTCGAGATAGACCATTCAAAGCCACTCAGTGGAACAATGGCCGCATATGCTGAACAAGTTCTGATATGCACGGGGAAGCCAGATTGGCCTTCTCGTATTGAGGAAGAAAATTCTGGGGATAATCTCGCTGCGGACATTAAGGAGTTGATGGGCCGCGGCGGAATGTATAGTGATGTATGATTAACAATTACCCACCTTTCTCAGTCGAACTGCCATTGACAGTGTTCTATTTAGCCTTACAACAACGTTTCTATTACAAACTCATCCTTTCCTTCTACCGTTGCCTCACATCGACCCGAAATCATAACGACTTCTGCCTATATAGTCCCATCCTTCAAATACATACCTTTTCTCCCGCGAGTATCATTCGATTCTGTACAAGCTTTGGTGAAAGGGTATTTACTTCCTACGAAACTACACCCCGCACACGATAACCTATCTCCGATACATAAAGACCGATTGCTGCGAAGTAAAGAACAGGCAGATTTCCTACCCGCCGTGAAAGATGTGAAGGATATATTGGTATTGATCTGCGGACATGGAGGACGAGATGTGAGATGTGGAATTTTAGCTCCAATCTTGCAAGCTGAATTTGAAAAAGTCCTATCAGCGAAAGATATACAGGTCTTGCACGGTGCAGTGGAACTAGATGACGGAAGCTCTACAGAGCGGTTAGAAGGACCGATCGAACCAATTGGAAATACTGCAAGAATTGGATCAATAAGTCATATTGGAGGACATAAATTTGCTGGCAACGTTATATTATATGTCCCGCCTCATACAAAGACGAAAGATGGCGAAGCTCATCCATTAGCCGGGTGTGGTATCTGGTACGGGAGAGTGGAACCAAAACACGTAGAAGGGATTGTGCAGGCGACATTATTAGAAGGAAAGGTCGTAGAAGAGTTATTCCGCGGTGGTATTAAACAAGGTGGCGAAATCTTGAGGATATAAACTTCCATATCTTTCAATGGGAGTCAAAAATGTAATAATATAGTTTGAAGTGAACCTGTCGACGGAGCGGCAAGGTGTTGACTCAAACATTGTCGAGGACAGATAATGGACTGTAACAACAAGAATTGAATACAGGAAATACCTCCAAGGTAGGAAAAGTTACAAGGCATAATTGAAATCATTGCAACGGAGAACTGGAAAGTCTCAACTCAGGGAGGCGACTCATGGAGGCAAAGTGTCCACATGCTGATCATATTACCAAGCACGATACAATGCGCGAAAATCACTCATGCTTTGACTGTGAGTGGTGACGAAGGTGAAATATATCCTGTGTGATATTCATCGAATGATAGTATCACATCAGATGTAAGAAAATCATCGTGCCGAGGTTCTTACTGAAAGTTTTGAACATGATCATGGGCTGGCCTCCTTATTAGGCTAAATTTTGTAATTGTGTGGGGGGTGTATGGTGACATGATTTGAATGTTGTATTTGTATCAGACAGCGAGATCTTTAATATAGAAGAATAGAAAGGCTTTAAAGTAATATAGATGCTAAATCTAAAGAGGTTGATATATATCCAGTAGTGGATTATATAGTGATTTATGGTTTTACTGAAAGTTTTAGCATAATAGAGGCTTCTCCGGAGAATCTAATCTGATCGGTTGGTGACGGCGCTTGTGGCCTCTCTGCTCTATTTGCCCGCTTTAGGGAAGCAGGCGGTGTCTTTGGAGACCAATCGATTCTATTAGTCGGCGGCGCTAGTCGGCAGCGCTTGTCGCCTCCTCACTCTCCTTATTAGTTTTGTAAAAGCAGTTGGCTTCTTTGGAGAATCTAATAGGTTCTACGGAGGCATATGGAATAGGTTATGTGATACTGTCTGCAGATTGATTCCGTTAATGGTAAAACAAAAGCGGTGTAATGTAACTTCTTCCATATATCTCCGTATTGGTGGTGGCGCTTGTTATTCCCCTGCTCTATTTCCCTCTTTTCCGGGAGCGGTATCTAATTGGAGAATTCAATTGGGTTTGTGATATGGAAATATGGTTCAGGTATTGAATTCGTATTAGACAATGAGAATCTTTTAATGTAGAAGAGACCCGGAAAAGGGCTCTAGAATAATATGAATGTCAGATATGAAGAGATTGATATATATAGTGGTGGATTATGGTGATACATGGCGATGTGGTTCGAGTATTGTATTCATACCAGATAATAGGATCTTTGATATAACAAATATTACTTATTGTTCTCTAGGGATAAATTGTTGGATTGACTATATGTTTGGGAGGTGTTTGTCTCCTTGTTGATTCTTTTCCATGTTCTTTTGAATCATCAATTTGTCATTAGGATTCCGCTCAAATATACTCAAAATCCTTTCTTTTCCCATTTGATATTCCTTGAACTTTCTTAGTATATCTATCATTCGTTGACTTTTCGAACTCATATATCATGTCTTTCTTTATATCTCAAACACTGCAAACATATGAGTTTCGGATCTATATTGGATTTCATTTTTGGGATTACTTTTCGATCGTTGTTCATAGACACATCTCATGATTTGGGCTGTGAATAGGATTATATGATTGTTGTTCATAGACACATCTCATTATTGAATTTGCTAATAGGTTTACAATGCATCTTCTAAGATGGATACTACTCGAGTAATGAATCAAATGTCAAGATGTACTATCATGTAGCCTACCATCTATCTTACCATATAACCTATCGTACAACCTACCATGTATATCAACCTATTCCTATCCGGCACCCACATTGTTTTAAAGCCCTTCTGCCCCCTTCTAAATCAAAGATCTCATTGTCTAATACGGATTCAACACCTGAGCCATATTACTGTACATGACCGTACAATAATTTGACCTAGATAGGGAGGCAACATCCAGAGAATCACATGATAATACAAGTACGCAATGCATGGCAGGCTCACAGACAAGAAAGAATCTTGGAAAAATGGCGATCGAGATCGATCATCGAGAACAAGCATCGGTATCGGAATTTTTTGGAACATATGGAAAAGAACAGCATGGAATTTCTAATTTCCATTCCACCATTTTATTGATTTTTGTGAACACGAGATCAAGCAAAAGTGGAGTATAGAGCAGTCCAGAAACCCCTTAGCATGAGTTCCCCTCTCAAAAAGCAAGTATTTTGTGCTTCATATGCACATCAAATTCTAGAATCAGTCTTCGTATCGTCGTATGGAAACTGCTTTGATACAGCCTATGAACCTATTAGCCACTCATGGCGGGGGATCGCCTCTTCGACCCGAAGCTATGCGCGGCATTCCCCTCAACTTGGCTTTTTGGTTAAAAGTTGGTCAAGCCACAGAGGGTCACCAATGAGTATTCATTATATTGACACTTGCATCATTTATGGCTTAGCTTCGCGGAGATCCTGAATGGCTTAACCACACCATTACCTACTTTAATTGATACAGGCAACGTCTCCGAGCTACGTACTATGTAATGAGGCTTGTATTTTGCAGATCTTGATTGGCTCAAATCAATAAGCTCCTACGTCATTGTAAACAATGGAAGCTCAGTTCTTGTAGCAGATGGAGCTTGAGCTCTTTCTTCCTACAGTCAGAAGGTGAATCACCCCTCCCTTTGTCTACTAGTTGGAAACAGCTGTCAACCAAGCAGATTCCAGATATGACGTACTAGAGCTATCACGGTAAGGAGCGAATTCGATCTTAGCTTCCTTTTGGAGAAAGGGACCAGAATATAAACCTCATCCTCTCCCCAACTTCTCGATTTTTCTTCATCAACTTTACAACTCACAACTCTACACTACAACAATACAAACAACTACAACCAAACCTCAAATCAACTTTTCAAAACATTCAAAATGGAGTCTATCAAGGCAAGTACTTCTCTTCCCTTTTGATTCGATCACCCCCTTCTCGGCTACATACTATCCAAACTCCTTCTCAATCTTTACGATATCATTCTAACAGCCCGCCAGCAAGGAGCCAACTACGTAGCTGAGACTATTCAAGGTGCTACTGCCACCACCTCCAAGGAGGCCAACAAGCAAGTCGCCAAGGACAGCGATGCCAGCCTTTCCACCCGCGCTAGCGCCGGTGTCGATGCTATTAAGGACAAGGCTGACGAGTCTGGACACAACACCAAGGCTGATGTCCACAAGGGTACGTTTTAGCTTTCTCTCCTTTGCACGTTTGTAAACATGTACTAATTGTTTCTACAGAGGCTGCCAAGCACTAAATTCCTCAATTCGACGGATTTTACTCTGCATTCTATCATAATGACTTTGGCGTATGGGATGGATGGGAGGATTCCTGGGGAGGTGATGAGCCTGAAACTCATGTATTAGTGGTCTCAATACCCTCATAATAACGATACTTTTATGATACTCAACCAAATTTGTCTTCTACTTTGCACTTGTCACGTGAATTCCAACTCTATCCTCGGCCGATTTAAGCCAAGATCCAAATCAAATTGCAGGCAATTGCGCAACGGTTGTTCAAGTATGATTCTACAAGAAAACTCAAAAAAAAAGAAAGCTGGTCAGTACATATTCTGACATGCGGGATTCGCTTCTCTACGCGATCGTCGAGGGGGTACTTTGATACTCTGATGACGTCATATCGCGGGGAGCTTTTGCTCCGACCACATTTACGGATTAAAGTGTTCCGCGTTCCGTACAATCGTGAAAATTGTCAAAGCTTCATCTCCAGCTGGAGCTTTCAAACCTATAGACCGACAGTGGGATCTAGTTGTCCATTGACTTCAATTGTCTCTACCTCTCATTCACAGCTTTTCTCTCTAGATATTCATAGATCGACGAGTTGAATTTGAGCCAATTAATTTTTACACGCTTTTTACATCTACCATGTCTTCCATAATGGAGCACATAGACCAAACCACGATTCTCTCTCTCCTCGGCGTCGTCGCAATCCTCCTATCCTCCTACATCCTCTCCATCCGCGTTCTCGCGCCCGCTACCCCCTCCTCCCTTCGTATCCTCTTTATTTGGCACTTCTTTGATTTCCTCATCCACATCATCTTCGAAGGCTCCTTCCTCTACAACTGTTTTTTCTCGCGCGCCCCTTTCGATTCATCAATTGCTCATCCGGTTGCTCTATCTAATTTCTTGGGCACAAGTGAATATGTATATGGAGCACAATATGCGGATAATTGGGCGAGCAAATTGTGGATGGTTTATGCGCAAGCAGATCGCAGGTGGGCGGGTGCAGATTTGACAGTGGTTAGTTTGGAGTTGCTGACTGTGCTTGGGGCTGGACCTTTGGCACTTTGGATCTGTTGGGGCATTGTGAGGAAGGATTGGAGAGTTAATTTTTGGATGGTGGTGCTTGCTACGGGAGAATTGTATGGTGGTATGTTTATGGGTTCTTCTCTGTCGTTCCCTGCACGCTTTCACCTATTTTCCGAAATGATGAAATGGTATATGCTAACTTTGTACGCGAATAACAGGTTTCATGACATTTGCACCAGAATGGTTAATCGGCTGTAAGAATTTGGATACGAGTAACTTTATGTTCAAATGGGTTTATTTGGTATTTTTTAATACGTTGTGGGTGTTCTTACCTATATATGCAATGTATGTGGCATTCTATGATATTGGTAATGCGATGCAGTTGAGGAACAGCGTTATCAACGCAAAGGTAGAGATGATGAAGCGAGAGAAGAAGAATTGAGGTCAAAGAGGGTGTATAGTATGAGGGGGGAAGACAGCATGAAGTCAGACGGATGGGAGATACCTGGATTTGGGAGCTATTTGAGTCGTATAATACAACTTAAGGCCATATATTGTATCTAGAAGAATATTCTAACATCAATCTCAATGTCGGTACCCAATATCCAAACTAGAGTCTTAATCTATATGTCAGGTACTTCGTATGTATTGAGTGGTTTGGAATGTTCTATGGAGAGTACATAATGTTCAATGTTCAATGTAACAATGTTATGGAAATAAGGTTTACGGATAACAATCAATGAATGAACCAAGATACGGCTACCAGAGTTCAAGTCATTATGCTTCAAAGTCTGCACCGAAGTATGCAAATTGTATATAATTCTATGAGTGATATACCAGTCAGTGTCTGAAGTCTTGAAGTATACCGCGGTCGGAAATTATCGAGTTGTAGATGTCATTGAAGTGCTCAGATCTTCCAAGGAAATAAATAAGGGTTTCGGTTGACCCTGCGCTACCTGTTTCCATGTCTCCTTAGTTGAATTCCCGAGGTTCATGAGCATAGGTACTTTGTATGAACTTCTACCAAATACCTAAAGATCATCGACGATCAGATCTCATCTAGAGATTCTCAGAAAACTCCCTCCTATAGTGGCTGTGCTGGTACTTCACGTGACCAATTCGGACAGAACCTGTTTTCAAGTTGTGGCTTAGCCTAGCTTTTTGTTTCCGCCACTGACGAATCTTGATCCCTTGATCCTAAAAACTTTGGCAATGACGTCAAAAAGGTCTCGATCAATGTTCCCAAGCATTTTGAAGACAAAACGTTACATTAATGACATTTCTCAGAAGTATCTAATGACCAAGAACGACGAATTGAAGACGGATACCAAGTCTTGCAATTGGAAAAGCTCCTTGAATATCACTTCTGAAATCTTGATGTTCTCAAATACTTTCACCGGAATCGGTGCATCCCGTGAAACGGCACAAGATCTTCCATTTCATCCTCTGGTGTGAATAAAGGAACTGCTCTAGATCTTGTGTTAGAGTATTCCTCCTCAGAGTAGTTTCAAAAATAGCGACGTTCTATACCGACTTGATGCAAATGATCTCGGCCGTTATCGTTTTGGCGGCAATTGAGAACAGCCACCAAAGTTATTCAAACCTGCATCGAAGAGTGAAGACGACAAATAAACAAAGAAAATGAAGGCATGTGAAGGAAATGGAGGACCGAGCAAAACAACCAAACTGCAAAACAAAGAAATCTTATACGAACACTAGGCTTTCTAGATGAAGCTTACAACATCTACTTATCATCATTGGTTCCCGCGGATGAGTGGTTCGATTTATAGTTTATGATCAAGCGGCTCCATTTGACGACATCATATGCAGATCTTCATCAAGTCATCCCTCACTTCACATTCTCCAAACTCCAAACTCCAAACTCCAAACTCCAAACTCCAAAATCCATATTTAATATCTTTATTCTCCTCAATTTCTTCTTTTAATCTGATCTGATATCTTTCCCGTCTACCACTTCATATAAACAAAAAGGCACATAAAACTTCATACATTTCATCATGAGAGGCGGCGGCGTAGCACTCAAAGCCCTTCAATGGTTCCTTCGCGGCGTGGAATTCTGCTGCTCGGTTATCATTCTTGGAATCTTTGCCTATTTCCTCGCCAAACTCTCTACCAATAATCTTCCTATCGCTACCTACATCAAAGCCGTCGAAGGTATTTCGGGCTCAGGTGCATTATACACAGTGCTTGGACTCAGTCTTCTCTGTTGTGTGGCCGGTTTGATGTTCTTTTCCATCATCGCTATCATTCTCGATTTCTGCTTCACCGGTGCATTTATCTATGTAGCCTATGCTACCAGACATGGTAGATCATGTTCCGGATATGTGTATACACCTTTGGGCAATGGAATTGCGGCCACAAATCAAAGACTTTCCGGAGTGGGAGCCTCGAGAGATACAACTCTACCTAGTTTGTCTGACAGCTGTAGATTGAATACAGCTTGTTTTGCTGTGTCAATTGTCGCTGCGTAAGTATTCCTTCTATTTCTATCCCTTCATTATGTGTGCAGAGCATCAATCGAGAAAATGTAAGAAATCACACTAACATTGAAATCAGTGTTTTCTTTTTTATCTCACTCTTTGTCGAATTAGCTCTCATCAAGCACCACAAAAAAGAAAAGGCATTCGGTCCTGGACCCAATAATGGCTACACAACCGGCAGAAGCCGTGGTAGATTTTGGCCAAAACGTCAACGAGTCCACGATGGTGAATACATGGCTGGAGGAGTTGTCTCAGAAAAGCCTGATGCATTGCCCATCCACTCTACTCCTAATGATGTGAGAACCTCGAATGCTACGGATGCAACCATGGTGGCACGAACTCACGAAGGTTATGGTTCACAAACAGGATATGGACATGCTCCTGTATCCCCAGTCGTTGGTACGCATGGTCATCAGGTTAATGGTGTGGACTATGGTACTAGTCCGGCGATGTATGCACCACCTCATGCAACAGAAATGCCAGCTGAGGGGTACAGAGGAACTCATCAATATCAGAATTCCAATGGTACTTTTTAAGTACTGTCGGAGCGATGTTCGGATGCAGGAGATGGGGTGGGATAAAAATGAATCAGGCAAGGATCTGCACAACTCATTGCAATTTGGCAGATGATATTTCTCCAAAGTTGACAAAACTGTATATATGTTTGCAACGATACCACGATATTTTAATGCGTAATAATTAAGTTTCTCATCAATAATTTTGGTTTTCCATATTCGTAATTGGCAATTGCAAGTGATTTCCTTTGCTCCTCGCTTGTGCTTTGCTATTTCGTATCTATTGTGAGAGTAATAATATCTCATCTATCTTTTGTCAGTTGTACTTCTTTCATTCTAGATCATCCCATCTATCAAGGTATATTGTTCGCTGACAGTCTATACTATTTAAAGGATATAACCCCTTCGAAAAATCGGGATACTGAGCAAGGTCATAACATACAAATTATCTAATTTGTTTTCGAGTATTTTTTACTACTTATTCAATTATCTCGTTAGCTACCGTATTGCATAGTAAAAGCTAAAGTACTCTTGTACATAATCCTTGATTAGGTACTTCGTTTCGTAAATATCCAACACTGAATACCCACTGCCTACCACATACTTCCTCCTATATCCCCATACCTCTACTCGATGGATCTCAAACCCGAATGTCGACAACATGTAAAGCCCTATCATATCACCAGGTCACTTACACATTACACACCCTACCATCGAGACCGACCGATCATATCTCCTACTGCAGACACGCAATGCTCATATCGAAATTTTGTAAATATCACACCACACCACACCGCATCACATCACTGAGCAATACCTAACGTAAACCAAACCTCCTAGCATAAATATTAACCATAATCCAACCTCAAACTCGACCATAGAGCTAGAGTCCTGGTCCTCACAAGACATGGTCTGTCGGGTCGCAGCCACTTTTGCGGTGTTTATCGAGGTGACCGTGTTGGTTTGTTTGCTTATCACTTATATTGAGGCGGAGTAAATGGAATGAATTGGAATGGGATAAAATGGTGTATAAGGTAAAGAAAGAAGTACGGGTGATATTTGAAATTTGTGGTGCGTGTTTTTTTTTCTCGTTGCAGGATTTTTAGCTTGTTGGAAGGAAGGTTTACTTTGCTTTTTCCCCTCTACGGAAGAATAATCTCCTACACACATCAACTTTCTACATCTTACTTCTCACTCTCCCCACTCTCCCAAATGGCCAGAGAAGCTTACCCTCCCAAACAAACATACGTTTCCGCAAAAACAATGGCACGATCGGTTGTAATGGAGAGAGTCAGCACCGCAGTGGGGAATCTGGTGAAGAAAGTTACGGAGAGGGGAGATGTGGATGTGAAGCATCTAGATGAAGATGCACACCCGATCAATAGCGTAATCAATAGGAGGGTTGAGAGAGGTACAAATAAGGCTTCGAATACCACGGCTGTGAAGAAGTGATGATGATGGTGATGATAGTATTCAAAATTCCATGCCAACAAGTACCCTGTATCAAGAGAGTTAAAGCCTGAATGGGTAATGGAACAAGCGATGAAGTAATAAGTAGGGAGAAGAACGGATTTGATAGAATCCGTTTAGATATTTAATTATAGTAATACAGTAATCCAGGAAAAATTTATCCATTCTTTCATCACTCACTAGAATTCGCCCAACACTCTAGAGTTATTTTTCTCGGGGAAAAAAACACCGCACCATTAATGTTCACAGACAACAGTCTCGAAGCGCTAATGACAATTGTTGGCTCCGTTGCTAGGCTCCTTTTCAACCAAGCCAGACCTGTCGAGGCCATCCCATATCACTCGGCCTGGTTGTCCTATCCAAGAATAAGCGAGGCTAATTTAAAGTACCTAGGTACCTAGACCAAGTTGGGAGCTTTACATCTCTCGGGGAGAGTAATTAACGAGGCGAAGAAAGATGTCAAACCTAGATTTTTGCTCATTACAAAGTTGAGAGCATCATTGGACTTTAGCACAGCACCTTCACACAGAAAAAAAAAGCAATCATATAAACACGCACGACCGATGATGTTATAGTGTAGTAACAAGATAGATTTTAAGATAAAAGTTTTAGATATGTACAACTAAAATTATGTCCAAGAAAGAACTTCGAATATGTACAGCGAGAAGTTCCAACAACAGTATGTACAAGATAAGTTGTAGATTCAAGAATGAGCTCGTTTCAAAAAAGTGAAAGAGAGCGAAAGTCATGAGCTCTACGAACCAAAGAGTTCAAGAACCCTTCTCTTTAGAGTTTGCCAATACCGGCATGGGCCACGACGTAAGCGGGGACCGAGGAAGCAGCAATCGCAGCAGGAACATAGCCGCTTTCCTTGGTCTTGATGGTGGCCAAGAAGGAGGTGGTACCGTAACCTGGGAAGGCTCCCGAGCTTGAAACTGCATTTGCGACACAAGCACGGCCGAGGTATGCGGTGCAAGTTGATTCGGTTCCAGAAGCGGTGGTGAAGATGGAGCCTCCAGCTGAGGAAGAAGCAGCTGTGATAGGAGTTGTGACAGATTGGAAGTAGTTACCCTTCAACAAGACTGCAGCGCCGACACCGATATCGAAATCATGGCCTGCGACATTGTAGAAGTAGTTGTTGACGGCGTGCATGGTGATAGCATCGCCGGAGCTTCCACCGACCTTGGGGGCTCTGCCAGAGCAGTGATGAATGTAGTTGTTTGCGAGAGTGACGTAGTCTGCGGCACCGTAGAAGAGCATTGTCCAATAGTGTTGGCCGTTGCAAGTTGCGGACCAGGAAGTTTGACCATCGAATTCATTGTTGGAGATTGTGAGTCTGCCAGCTGCATTGTATCCAGTAACAAGCATTTGTCTACCGATGAGAGAGAATTTGCAGTGATCAATCCAGATCAAGTCTGTGCCAACCTAAAGGTAATAGTTAGCATGTAGGCTTTGTGACCTCCCTTCCCTCAAGAAGCAAAACTTACCAGTGTGATAGCATCACCACCCCAGATCAATGAAGGGTTAAAGTTGGTAATATGAACATTTTGAATAATGATGTTGGAAACACCAGAGAGATAGAGTCCCCGACCAATGATAACACCCGCGCTGCCTACACCAACAATACTCTTGTTGCTCTTGACCTGGATTGGTGTGGTACCAGCATTATCGTATTTGACCGTAGTTGCGGAAGCAGATCCACACCAACCATTTGCATTGATGGCATTCTTTCCACTAGATCCGCAGGTATTGCTAGTTGGTACGCATCCAGTTGCAGTGGTAGTTCCTAAAGTACCGCGGAAATCAAATGTCTTGGTGATAAGAATGACTCGTGGCGATGAGTCTGTAAGGTAAGAGACCAATCTAAGAAACTAAATCAGTTGAGGCTCTTAAGTCAAGTGTACAGTTTGACTTACTCAGCAGTTGTAGTAGGTGTGACAGGGCTAGCACTTCCACCACCAGTCACCTAAACGAGGTTAGTATGCAAGAAAGGAACAAACAGTACACCAATGAATACTAACTCCGTGAGCAGCACCTGAAGCTGATCCGGTAACACCTGCGCCATGAGCAACAGCGCGGCTGTAAACCAAAACAAGAGAGAGTGCATGATTGTGCTGAGAGTGACATTATGGAATGCTGAGCTGACAATCTAGGAATTGGTTGCAATGTTTTGTATTTAGATTTCACTATCTGGAGGAACATCTCTTTATATATTGTTGATCCTTCTGCCCCGTATTAAGAGATGTGATGGAGCTCTCTCCTATTCCAGGATATTGTAGCACCAAGAAATTCACGATGCCTGGTGGATAATCTTTACCGTTAATCTTCCATATTGAAATGCAGGACCGTCAGTATGCCGGATGTTAATGAATCAGGAATCTGACAGTCAGAGCTAAGTAAGCCTATACTTCAACGGTGCTCGGCGCCCTGGTGAACCCTGTAAATACTGGCATAAAGTTCCTCGCCGATGGTTCCTGGAGCGTATAATGAAGGTAGTGTCACCGGCGTCTTGCCTGCATGCCACAAGCGCCAACTACAACGGATCAAACTCCTAATACCGAGTGCCAAGGTGACGCCAAGATATGGGTTCGGTACTATGTGGTAGCGGGAAAATCTCTTGTATGATGGAAAATTCCAAGTGCCCGCCAAGATATGTGAGAGGAGTTATCTCTAGACTGAATGGAGGACAAAAGCCTGCGCACCAATGATAGGCATTGATGTTGGAGATAGAGAACCCTGAGTACGTATAATATCTTCGAAAAATTGCCTAAATAGAAATTCAACACGTCGATGTACATGCGTGAAGATCACTTGACCTCTTTTGAAGGAATGGAAATGTGGTTGGTACATCACCGTCCTTTTTAGAACAATACGAATATAGAAATCTAGAAGACTCGAATCGGTAAACGAGAGGTACTAGAACAGTCGCAGGCTTCATAGAAAAAAAGACTAAAGTACGGGCCATAAACTATCAAAAGTATATTAAATTTCAATGGAATATACCGACAATAAATTGTTTTGTTTGCCGTGTATGTTCCCCAGATATGCAGATAGAAAATCTCCGATCGGTACCGATGCTGTACTACAGCAGTACCACTCGTACCACAGCACATGCACCGCCATACATGTATTGTTATCTGACAGCGTGGGATTGGACCTCGAGTGGGGGAAGGGAAGGATGGCAAGTTGCCAAGATGGAATAATTACCGATTCTGCAGAAAAAAGGTAAGCATCGTGACCTATAGTGGCGCAGCTATTGCTTCAGATAAATCATCACGGAGAGTCTGCACAACGATGGGAATGCTACCGTGTTGGGGTTTTCGAGGCCGATTCTTCCGAGTATAGTTGTTTGAACGGGAGAGAAGTGTTGAGCACCCGGGATTTGATCTCCGAATACGATACTTGACAGCGTATAACTGACAGACAGAGGAGGAATGTATTGTTGGCATACTCGTTGAGAAGGTCAACCCTTTGGTTGCTCTCGGGTCATGAGGCCAAGTCTAGGTCGAAATTACACATGGTTTCATGCGAGGTAATTCCAGAAATATCGTAAGTCATTTTCTTGGAATATCATGCATCCCATTCGAAAAGTTAATTGTATGGTGCTGGAATAGTCTTAGAAAGGGTTCTTCCCGCTGATGATCGAAGGTTTTGAAAGGAAGTATGAAGTTCTCCGTACAACAAGGCGACTAACTTAAAGCACTACCAGCCCGAGGCAATATCGACAAGAATGGGATGGAGGAAGTGTTCAAGGTCAAAGCAACATGTTTCCGTCCATAATTTTATACTTCGTACTCTCTTGATTCTTGGTATTTCAAAGGGGAAAAGGGGTCCATATAAAAGCTTGATACGCATTTCCACATTGAGCGACAGCGGTCTAGACACCCGGCTAGGGATATCGGTGATTTCGGCGACTCCTTTGTTGCTGTCGATGTTATTCAATTATGAATCGAATGTGGAGTGGAGTATTTCTTTACACAGTAAATTCCCAAGTCTCTCATAAATGTTCTTACTCTCACCGTATGATAAAAAGGCTTGCATTGCAGCAGCAGCGAAAGAGTGAGAAGTCGAAGCTCCAAGCTGTGAGCTGTGAGCATCGAGATGAACCACAACCAGCCACAGCACGTGATATGATTAGGGACCTCAAGCCTCGATTCTTTCTCGGTAGTGTGAGCTCGAGCTTCTTGGAATCGATCTCTCCTTATTACTGATCATGAAATTGCTCGTCAGTCGTTCGCGCGAGATGATGAAGCATTTCTATCTCTCATCTGCCCATTGAGCGACCTTCTACAAGACATGTTTGCCATGGAGAAGGTACCTGTACCTTTGAAAGCTTTTCCAGCACTTAACGTCAGCTTCTTACGGTATTTCTCATAAATACCCCCCTTGAACTGTGTTTCAAACTTGCAGACTCTGGTGGCTGTGCTTTGCGGCCTTTCTCTCATACTTCATGGTCGTGCAGTAGGACATTCCAAAACAAGCTGAAGCGGTCGGTGATCTGGCCTCCAGACCAGTATCCAAGAATCAATCCAATATCTTCTGTCCATTGAATGGGGATGCATGCTCTTATATATTTGGCCCTCGGTTTCTATTCCATGTTCAAGCAATATAGCCTCATTATCTTGATTGGCCCTGAATATCGAGATTTCATGGTGGCCTGAACTGGCACTACATAGTAGGTGTCTAATCTAGAATCATCACAGAGACGCAATGGGACATAAGAAATCAATGATGCCACAATTTCTATTATCGTCGAGGCCGACTTTCTCAGTTAAGGCGCAAGTGTGCATTTAATCACAGCATATTGTCGGCTATGCAGGCCGGTTATGTTGGTTCTGACGACTTTGTAACGAATCAACAAGGATTTGCAGAAATTTGATTGGCCTACAACGACTATGCCTGACACATTATTGGCTAGCACCCTGGATCATTGAAGAGACGGCGTGGTATCAGTCTCCGAACGAAGATACTCCTTCATTGTCCAGCCACAAATCAAACATTTAAGTAGGCAGATAGAATACCTCTGAGAAGCTAATTTATATTGCAATAGAAATTGGAATTTACATACACATACTGCAATATTTACTAATCGATTGATCATGTCGAATCCTGGATATTCGCAGACCCATGTCTCCTCGAGTAACCGGTCTCCCTCCATCTCGGCCAACCGGGCATCCAGTCTACCGTCCCGGCCACGCCTCAATCCTTACCAAACACCCGATCGACCAATATTGGGCAAGTTCCCTACCTCTTCATCTTCGGTCTCCAGTGCCAGTACGATGTCGACTGCTGATAGCACATTTTCGATGAGATCTCTCAGACGTGAACCGTCGCCAATCACCCCACCAAATGATTTCGAGGAATCAGTTGATCAGTGGCCAATTGCACGACCTCGAAATTTGTATGAATCACCCATAAGAACCTCAAGGAATTCAAGATATGAATATCAAGCAATAGCTTCGCAATTTAAAGCTGATGAAGGTCGAGATCGAGTTGAAGGTCAAGCAGATGATGAAGTTGACTATCAAGATGTCAATAATGACAACAATCAAGCTGAAAGGGTATTGAAGATGCCTGGGGCTTTTCCTGCCGTTGCAGAAGAACTCATTGCCAACAGGCGTATGAGCTCGGGCTTCAGTAATGCCTGCAATTCTATGCCTGTTCAGTATCCTATTCTTCCAGCGATAGCACCACAGTGTCCAAAGTTTTGTTCTTATGGATCCGCTCGCAAAAGCACCCGAGAAATAAATCACGCTATAAGATCACTTCTCCAGAAGCCGCTCAAACCTCATTACGGCCTTACTGCTGGTTACATATATGCGTTCGAATCTCCCAGGTATGCTCCTCGTCACATAAAGATCGGTCAATCGAGCAGAGCTCCAGAAACTCGCATGCGCGAGTGGTCGAAATGTAGAATACCAATTTCCGAAATTTCCAAATCTGTATCCGGAGCTCCACCAGAATCACCTAGCGGCAACGGTGAAGATGCTTTCTATCATTACGCGTTAGTTGAGTCTATCCTCTTCGAAGAGTTCTATAATCAACGCAGGTGGTTTGAATGCGAGGTTTGCAAAAACAGCCAGCGCGGACCTAGAAGGCATACAGAATGGTTGGAAATCGATGCATCAACTGCAACTCATGCAATAAGGCGTTGGCGTGATTGGGTCGAAAGAGAAAAGCCATTCACACCGCTGGGGAGGCTAACGGCCTATTGGCAGTGGAGAGTAGATGAATTACCGAAGAGTTCATCGAGTATTAACTGGGATGATTGGGCACGACCTGGGCTGCGGGGGTATTGCGGGTTTCTGCTAGAACAGCCTTTCCTTCATGCTTCGAAGTTAAAACCGCATTTTACGAGGAAAGATAAGCAATTTTGGACAATGAGTTGCTTTTTCGTACTTGTTTCATTCTTCGTATATACTCCCGAGTTTACCATTTCCTTTACAATGGTATTATTCGCCCTGTGATTCTGCTTTCGGTGTGGTCATCATATACTTGGAAAAATTTGGAGTTGATGGTTGGCGTTTGCATATGGACTTGTGATTTGTGAATACCAAATTTGAGGTGCGTGTTGGCAAGTGGTCCAACGTTGTTATTATGATTTTCTTAAATTTGTCTTTATGTGTCTTACTATACCTTCAGAAGATTTGCTTTCATATCGTCCATCCAAATATGATTAATGACTTTGGTAAATAGACTTCAACAAGTGCCGAAGTATTCCTTTTAGCCGATATTCGTGTATGAGAGAAATGTGGTCTTTTTGTGTCATCTCGGCAGTCATTGGTACGAACCAGTGCACGTTCTAACCATTCTTGGTGTAAACGGAATTGTCGGCACTCACATCAAAGTCCGTACTCTTTTCAAATTTCGATCATTGATCAATTGATTGATGTGTTTCTGTTTCAAATTCAAGCAAAATTGTTTAGTAGCGTTTAATTTACATAAATGTAAAGTTTCTTTATGTTTCGAGAAGGTTTGCATGGATATAGTCCCCGTCCACATCGAGCTGTCCACAAAGACCCGTTTTGATAAATGTACTTTACACGTCGTATAATATTTGAACTTATAAAACAGTGGGATCACCCATAAACCATACTTGTGTATTTACAACTCTGGATACTGGCTGAAACTCAATCATCTGGTCAACAATGGCTCTACCACCTCCGCTCCCCCAAGGGCCAATCTACCGCCAAACGCTGCCGATATGGAAACGCATGACTCTTTGGCTCAAAGTACACTTCGTCAAAACCCTTGCCAATATCTTCGGCTCAATACTGATATCCCCCTATGTACGCGGTCGAGCAAGCCTCCCTACATTCACTAAAACCTATCCCATCCACTCCTCTCTCACCCATAGAATCTTTATTCCACCCACCTACAAATCCGGCGGCCCACCTCTTCCCCTCTACCTCAACGTCCACGGTGGAGGATTTGTCTTCGGTGTTCCTGCTATCGACGACGAATTCTGTTCTTACTTCTCCTCTAAACACAACATCCTGGTCATCTCCCTCGACTACTCCAAAGCTCCCAAAGCAAAGTTCCCTCAACCAATTAACGAATTAACCGATGTTGTAACCGCCATCCTCGAAGACGAATCTCTCCCGTTCGATCGCTCTAAAGTAGCTATTGGTGGTTTCAGCGCTGGCGGCTGTTGTTCCCTCGCCGTTCCACAAGCTCCCTATCTTCAAGGCAAAATCCAGGGCGTATGTGCATTCTACCCCCTTTGTGGGTTTGTGACGCCGCAATCAGTCGCAATTGCAGCGAGACCTTCTTATGCGCCTAAAGATACTTTGGAATCTTTGGGACCACTGTTCGATTATGCATATACACCTCATGGAACAGATTTGTGTGACCCGAGACTTAGCGTTATGTATGCGGATAGAAAGATGCTGCCGGAGAAAATTTGTATGGTGGGGTGTGAGTTGGATATGTTGTGGTATGATGCTGAGTTTATGGCAGAGAGATTTGTGGGGAAGGAGAGGGTAGAGGGTGAGACAGTTTGGGAAAAGGATGGGGTGCGATGGGAGAAAATTATGGGTGTTGAGCATGGTATGTTGAGCAGATTTTTCTTTTATCGACCCCTTGGGTGTAAGGATGAAGTAGCCAGGATTTCCAATAGTTTGGAATGCAGTTCAATAATGAGAGACTTTGGATTTCTAGATCCGATCTTGACATATAGAAGATTTAAATTGTTGAATTCATTTCAAATGTTGAGTTGCGCTTGGAATTTGAAGACTTCTATCCGGTCTGCTAGTCTGAACTAGTAGATATATTGGCACTCTGGAAGTAGAGATTGAGATACTAACTTTGATCTAGGATTTGAAAGTTTTGGGGGGCGCCTGCAAAAAGATAAAGTCAAGAAAGAAAAGTTAATGGCAACAGGGAGGAAAATGTACGATGACGCTGCAGAGTGGCTATTCAGAGAAGTCTACCATTAAAGTATCACCCTCGTCTGGCCTTTTTTCTCTGCAATTCGGTTTGTTGCGTTCCATCTATTAGATATCACTCATCGAAAAATGACTGCTCAAATATATAGCTATCCAGGCCTAAAGGAACCCGAGCGATATTTAATGTTTAGACTTAGATTAGATATTGCTTACTATTCTTTCAGCGTTCAGATAAGAACTTCCACAGTCCTGAATGAGTAATAGCAATTCGAAGTATTTTCTCAATTTCTCGTGATGAGAATCTTCATGCCATTGTTCAAAAACCTACTCGAATTGCGAAGACCGTTCTATGGAGCGAGGATGAATGCACCCTGCAATTTTCGAGGATCCTAAACAGAAACAGAAAGTAGATAAAACCCATTATCGAAACCAACATCTTACCCTCGCTTCACCAGATCTACCCCATCTGCCGATCCTCCAACCGGCTCGAAATTCTCCGCCCAAGTCCACATCTCCATCTATGTGTCCACCTGTCAACTTTGCTCTACTAGGATCCAGAGTCTCCCTTTATACTTATCCTCATCTCAATGCCCACCCATCATCGCCACCAAAGAAATACTCAGTGTGTATTATCTTTGTGCCAGCCAAGAAAACCCCGTTGTTTCAAACTCTCGACCCTGGCTTGGCGATCATTTGGGAATCATGCGTTTCCAAAAGAGGTTGGGCCAGTCAGGGCACTGACGCTCGGCATGCGGGCACTGCCGAAGGGTATTAGGCTCTTGGACCTTGGCTTTGACACTGGAAGTTATGGGACAGATCTAGATCTCTAGATCAAGGCGTCGGTGGGAATTTCCCTTTATCCTGGATCCATTCGAGGAGGGGAAGAACAGAGTGAGGACTGAACTTGAGAAGAAAATAATTAGTGAAGATGGGAGTAAGAGTACAGAATTTGAGTGAGTGACAACAGAAGATGGATTTGAATTCGAATTTCTCTTTATATTGATATATCTATAGATATATGAATTGCGTTATCTTGCTTTTCTGCCCATTGAGACGTCCTAAGAGTCCATCCTCATATTCAAATTATAATGTAAGAGCTGTGTGGTATACTTCCAGCTTGACCCGAGCCACAAAAACGCCACCATAAGAACCAAAGATAAAGAAGAAGAGAAGAACACACTCACAGCTACTATGCCGTGTAAATAATAACAAATGATCTCTCAATCTTTTTGACGCTTGTAAATTACATATCCAATCCATCCTCATTCACGTCCATTCATTACAAAAAGTGAGATGGGAAATCTATTCCTCATCATCTGCACTCCTTGTCTCCACAAAAGTGAGCTCGGCAACTGATCCCTCGACCATATTGAGGTTAACACCATCAATACCTGGGCTTGGTTCACGCTTAGTGACTGCTGAACCGTTGACATCTTCGACGTTGCGGACTGTGGAGATGGAATTTGTTTGTCCAACTATTGTGCCGACATGTTAGCTCTAATTCTATAGTTAATAATGTATGGAGGAAGGAGTAACTAACCAGCTGGTCCACCACGAATAAACATGGTAGTGACGGTAGTCTTCATCTTGGGGTCGACAACACCGTCCTCACGTTTACCCATCTTGGTCTTTGCTGCAGTACCAGCGGCCGCAGCGGTATTTCCGGTGCCTCCAGCTTTGACGAGGATACCAACACCAGACTCTTCGGTTCCGAGTTGAACTTCGGGGCTGGTCTTGATGGCACCAGCAGCGTAGTTGAGAGCGGCAGTCAAGGTTTGAATGTCACGTTTTGCGGCTCTGTCTACATCCGATCTCTCGAGCTTGACAACACGGGGTGCAATTTCTTTGCCCATTCCTTGAAGTGCTGTTACTTGAGCTTCGGTCTTGTCTTCGGTACCTCCCTGAACGGCGGCGGCGGCGGCGGGTGCGGCAGCTACGGCTGGTGCTGCTTGTGCTTGTGTTGGGGTTGTGGCGGCGGCACCGTTTGCTGCAGCGCCATTGTTTGTTGCGGCACCAGTAACGGCAGCTCCTTCGAGCGCGTTCATGAGGTTCGATACATCTGCTTTCCCTCCGAATGATATTTCACCATCACCGACTACCAAGGCTGGTGAATAGGCGCCAAGATTGATGTTCAAAGGGAGTGCCGAGATGCTAGTGGCGATCATGGCCATAACAAGATAGTTGGTCAACATTTTGAAAGTGGATTATGAAGGGGTGCTTGCGTTGGAGACGGGCTGTGAAATAAGGGTAGTGTGATGAATTAAGTGAACGAAGATCTTGAGCGTCAAGCTTAGATGTGTAAATAAAGATCAAGAAGAATCAAATGGAGCACAGCTGAGGAATTAAAACTCTTGGGTGCATGAGGACAAGACTTCTTATATCAAGAATTCATACAGAAAATGCGTTGCCAATAATTTCCATAGGCCGTGCAATATAGCTCTGGCCAACCCCACACCATACCCACGGTTCCTAACATTGAGGTTCTGGCCAATCGAATGATCTTCCTATTCTGAGATGCTAACAATCCACAGATTTTGATTATGAACCTTTTTCGCGTGGGATGATTGCCAATATTTCGTCAAACGCCAAGTGACACCGACAACTCGTTGCACAGGAATGGTATCAAGCTCTCGAGAGACTCAGCACAGACCAAATGCGAGGAAGCAATTATCTTGGCTGTGAGTGCATAGTCACGGCGACGTTTTGAAATAGCTTTGGTAAGTCTAGCTATGCTTTTTTGGCGTTAGCTTTCCAATAATTCTAGTTCTTGGCAGGTTCTAGCGTCGTATGAGAATCCCTCAAAGGTCACAGCGTAAACCCCGAAATCTCTGGAAACGAGTTGCATCTCCAGACATTTCACAATTTGACATGCTATAAACAGATTAAGTTTCCTTAGGAATTTCATATTGACAAATCTCCCCCAATGTTTGGCGTTTTTCATCGCAAGTCTTGGCTGACATTCTGCAAAACCCTGCATATGTGTTCTTCCAACTTCCAACCGCGGATCAACACCAAAATGATCCAAATCTCGGTCAAATGAAGCAAGTATAGGTAGGGTAAATGGTAGTAGGAACTTTCCTTCCTAAGGGGTCAAAGTTTGAAGACGACATTTAGGAAATGAGATGAAAGAAATTGTGTTTTAGTCGACGCCACATTGTTTGGACATAGTCTCGCGGTTGTTTTTCATACCTGGAAGCTAGACATCAAATGTATCTATGTGACTAAGAGTTGGCAAAGCCATATCGAGCTTTTTTGAACTAGCAATGGCTCGGAAATCGAATGCATGAATTGACCTTACGTCCCCTTCTCAAATATGAACCATAGCACTATGGCCCATTACAATCTCAATAATATAGAGTAGAAACGCGAAGAGCTTAATCTTCCGTATCATACCTCATCTGAGAAATCCATCTTTGTTGCTTCATTCTGATACAAAGGGTTTGCCTCAACTTCTCGCACCCATAACTGCCAAGGTCTTTCTGCGGTGTCATCGTTAAATTTTTCGGAACCAGAAGCTTGTTCGGCATTCAAAAACCTTAAAGGGCCAAGGTCAAAAAGTCTTCCCTCGGCATTCCTGAGCATAAGAGCTTTTGCTTGGAGATCCGCGTTGACTTGAGTATAAACGGCACGGTAGATGGCTTGCTTGATACTTGATCCTACCGTCGTGAAACCGTGATTTGCCATTAAGACGACGTTATAGTCTTGGGTGCTTGATTCCGGCTTGGAGAATTTCTCGGCCAAGGCACTGCCAAAGCGTCCAGAGTTTACCAAGAAGTCTTGCCTATCGTTCGAGGTGTATAGCTCCGTGATATCAAAATTAGGTACGTGGTCACCTATAAGCAATCATTATATACATGTTCATGCATCGTTCCCGGAAGAGTATCATACCTAAGAACCCAGCCATGTGAAATATCGGTCTCATCTGGACTCCGTTCATCGTGTAGGGGATTACGGCCTCGGCATGACTGTGGATAACGCAATTGATTTCTGAAAATCTCTTGTAAATTTCACTGTGGATAAACCGTTCTTGGTACCCTTTCTTTGCCTTCGGATCCACTGGAGCACCATCGGATACATTATAATGTACCAAGTCGGAGATGGATGATACCAATGCTGGCGCGGTCGATGCCGACATAATAAAGATACCTGGGTTGTCCGGATGGCGAACAGACACATGACCATAAGCATCGACAACATTTTGATGATGCAAAATATGATTCGCGTGGACGAATGTTTGAATCTGAAGGTTATTGATTAACCTAGGTCAATAATCTTACACCATTCTTGATCATCCGATCTTTGAACTTTCGCAAAGCCCTCCTCCCAATATCAACATAGCACCGATTGACCACGCACTCTTCAGACTATTTGGGAAGTTACGTTCTCGACACCAAGAGCTTGCCAATGCCCCATGCCTTTGTTTTAACCGAAATCTTTGGACGAGTACAGTGACTGGATGCACGAAGACACACAAACTGGGCCAACACTCACAATTGAGTTTTTCATTTTCGATGAATCTCACAATGTCCCAAAGTATTACGACCAATCGATACGACTTGACACAAAGGCGTGATGTTGTAAGACGATGTTAATGTGGTTGCAGTGATTGATTGTGTCGATAGCGTTGAAAAAAACAGACGGCGATGATGATGATACTAGCAAAATCGACGACGATGTTGTTTGGTTGTTGGTAATCTATCGGATGGAATCACCCGTGGCGGGATGATAGGGCACTTGCTTTCAAATCTCCAGGCCTCGGTGTCCCCACAATCTGATCTGTCTATCTGCATCTACAGCGGCGCGCACCGATTTACTGCAAACCAGGGAAAACATATCACATGTGATAGCTTGATAAGGTTAACGGGACCGAGATTACCGCTCAACAATATTTCACGTCTTCAGATATTCATAACTTCATATCTTCATATCGTGGTAGAATCGTGGGACCGCAGAAGCGACAGTATGATAGTAATCATTGATGGACGACGGCGAGGAGCGAAATGTGAGAGAATGCTTGGCGTTCTTATTTTAGAAGGTCGCACGAATAAATCCCAGCAATCTGTGTGGCTACCTTCCACAAACTACTTAAAGATTCCACGACAACAACCATCAGAAATATCACAAGGGATGATAGGAACTTTTTACTTTTTCTATCATTATCTTCAGGGGATTTTGAGCCTGCACAACATCTTACCTCCTGTTGTTGCTCTAAGAGAAAATCTTTCCTCGGCGAATGATAACCGAGTGGTAGGGAAGTTTATCATCTATCATCTACCATTCGCTGAACGGTAAGAATACGTAATGTACCTGACTATCGATTAGCCTTATTAACTTTCTTCATTTATCGTTTGGGGAATCAAGTCCTTTCATTTGACTGCCGATCAGGGGATAAGCATAAAATGGGGATCAATATAGTGTCAAGCGTTGCTTCTAGCCTATTTAGGAACCTTGAAAACATCGTAGTTCGATGCACAATTGACCTATGAGCATGGAATATTGCCATTTCTTTCAGCCGTTCCTTTCTTATACACCTTCTTCTCTTAGATAATGTCTCTAATACAACCCAACACCAATGGAGTGTGACACGTTTTGGTGAAGATTGCTTATCACCCATGGCGAATGAGTGCAATTTAGAAATGTTATATCTATAGCCTCGGTGGCAGTGGTGAATCTTCTTTGCGTGAAATAGAAGCATCGATTTCTCTCGCTTTCCCTTGGTACTGAAACTTTGTGCAACAATGACTTCCTCAATCTCCAAAGTTCTTTTTCCATTTG